ACAATCTCTTTTGTCCCCCTTCCCTTTATATAAAGGGACTATACATGCTCTCCGCCAATCCTTTGGTACCTTCCCCTTTTTCATACATTTATTAAACAAAAATACCAACCACTCCACCAACACTATATCCTCCCCGGCTTTTAACATTTCTGCCACGATCCTGTCAGTTCCAGCTGCTTTACCCCATTTCATTCTACGTAATGCTTCACGCACCTCCCCCACACTCACATCCTGCTCTTCTTCACTCCTAAAAGATAGTATACGTCCCTGGCCAGTGCATGAAATTACTGCCTCCCTTTCTTCATCGACATTTAAAAGTTCCTCAAAATATTCTCGCCACCTTCCCAATACAGTGGACCCCCGGTTAACGATATTTTTTCACTCCAGAAGTATGTTCAGGTGCCAGTACTGACCGAATTTTTTCCCATAAGAAATATTGTGAAGTAGATTAGTCCATTTCAGACCCCCAAACATACACGTACAAACGCACTTACATAAATACACTTACATAATTGGTCGCATTCGGAGGTAATCGTTATGCGGGGGTCCACTGTACTTCCATCTTCCCATCTACTAACTCCCCTACTCTGTTTTTAAGTGGCACATCCATTCGTTCCCTAGGCTTTCTTAACTTGTTTAACTCAATCCAAAATTTTTTTATATTTTCATTAAAATTTCTTGACAGTGCCTCTCCCACTCTATCATCTGCTCTTTTTTTGCACTCTCTCACCACTCTCTTCACCTTTCTTTTACTCTCCATATACCTGTTCTTCTTATAACACTTCTGCTTTGTAAATACCTCTCATAAGCTACCTTTTTCTCTTTTATCACACCCTTTACTTCATCATTCCACCAATCACTCCTCTTTCCTCCTGCACCCACCCTCCTATAACTACAAACTTCTGCCCCACATTCTAATACTGCATTCTTAAAACTATTTCAACCCTCTTCAACCCCCCCCCCCCACTACTCATACTTGCACCAGCCCACCTTTCTGCCAATAGTTGCTTATATTTCACTCAAACTTCCTCCTACCTTAGTTTATACACACTCACCTCCCTCTTACTTGTTGTTGCCATTTTCCTCTTATCCCATCTACCTCTTATTCTAACTGTAGCTACAACTAGACAATGATCCGATATATCAGTTGCCCCTCTATAAACGTGTACGTCCTGGATCCTACCCATCAACCTTTTATCCACCAATACATAATCTAACAAACTACTTTCATTACATGCTATATCATACCTTGTATATTTATTTATACTCTTTTTCATAAAATATGTATTACTTATTACCAAACCTCTTTCTACACATAGCTCAATTAAAGGCTCCCCATTTTCATTTACCCCTGGCACCCCAAATTTACTTACTACTCCCTCCACAACATTTTTGCCCACTTTAGCATTAAAATCCCCAACCACAAGTACTCTCACACTTGGTTCAAAACTCCCCATGCATTCACTCAACATTTCCCAAAATCTCTCTCTCTCTATACTTCTCTCTTCCCCAGGTGCATATATGCTTACTATAACCCACTTCTCACATCCAACCTTTATTTTACTCCACATAATCCTTGAATTAATACATTTATAGTCCCTCTTTTCCTGCCATAGCTTATCCTTCAACATTATTGCTACTCCTCCTTTAGCTCTAACTCTATTTGAAACCCCTGACCTAATCCCATTTATTCCTCTCCACTGAAACTCTCCCACCCCCTTTAGCTTTGTTTCACTTAAAGCCAGGACATCCAGCTTCTTCTCATTCATAACCTCCACAATGATCTCTTTCTTATCATTCGCACAACATCCATGCACATTCAGACTTCCCACTTTGACAGTTTTCTTATTATTATTCTTTTTAGTAATTATTACAGGAAAAGGGGTTACTAGCCCATTGTTCCCGGCATTTTAGTTGACTTTTACAACACACATGGCTTACGGAGGAAAGATTCTTATTCCACTTCCCCATGGATATAAAAGGAAAAGTAATAAGAACAAGAAGTAAGATAAAATCAAAGAAAACTCAGATGAGTGTGTATAAATAAATGTGTACATGTATTATTATTATTATTATTGTTTTTTTTTTTTTTTTGTTTTTTTTCAACAAGTCGGCCGTCTCCCACCGAGACAGGGTGACCCAAAAAAGAAAGAAAATCCCCAAAAAGAAAATACTTTCATCATCATTCAACACTTTCACCACACTCACACATTATCACTGCTTTTGCAGAGGTGCTCAGAATACAACAGCTTAGAAGCATATACGTATAAAGATACACAACATATCCCTCCAAACTGCCATTATCCCAAACCCCTCCTTTAAAGTGCAGGCATTGTACTTCCCATTTCCAAGACTCAAGTCCGACTATATGAACATAACCGGTTTCCCTGAATCCCTTCACTAAATATTACATTGCTCACACTCCAACAGATCGTCAGGTCCCAAGTATCATTCGCCTCCATTCACTCCTATCTAACACGCTCATGCACGCTTGCTGGAAGTCCAAGCCCCTAGCCACAAAACCTCCTTTACCCCTCTTTCCAACCCTTTCGAGGACGACCCCTACCCCTCCTTCCTTCCCCTATAGATTTATATGCTTTCCATGTCATTCTACTTTGATCCATTCTCTCTAAATGATCAAACCACCTCAACAACCCCTCTTCTGCCCTCTGACTAATGCTTTTATTAACTCCACACCTTCTCCTAATTTCCACACTCCGAATTTTCTGCATAATATTTACACCACACATTGCCCTTAGACTGGACATCTCCACTGCCTCCAACCGTCTCCTCGCTGCTGCATTTACCACCCAAGCTTCACATCCATATAAGAGTGTTGGTACTACTATACTTTCATACATTCCCTTCTTTGCCTCCATAGATAACGTTTTTGACTCCACATATACCTCAACGCACCACTCACCTTTTTTCCCTCATCAATTCTATGATTAACCTCATCCTTCATAAATCCATCCGCCGACACGTCAACTCCCAAGTATCTGAAAACATTCACTTCTTCCATACTCCTCCTCCCCAATTTGATATCCAATTTTTCTTTATCTAAATCATTTGATACCCTCATCACCTTACTCTTTTCCATGTTCACTTTCAACTTTCTACCTTTACACACATTCTCAAACTCATCCACTAACCTTTGCAATTTTTCTTTAGAATCTCCCATAAGCACAGTATCATCAGCAAAAAGTAACTGTGTCAATTCTCATTTTGAATTTGATTCCCCATAATTTAATCCCACCCCTCTCCCGAACACCCTAGCATTTACTTCTTTTACAACCCCCATCTATAAATATATTAAACAACCATGGTGACATTACACATCCCTGTCTAAGACCTACTTTTACCGGGAAGTATTCTCCCTCTCTTCTACACACCCTAACCTGAGCCTCACTATCCTCATAAAAGCTCTTTACAGCATTTAGTAACTTACCACCTATTCCATATACTTGCAACATCTGCCACATTGCTCCTCTATCCACTCTATCATATGCCTTTTCTAAATCCATAAATGCAATAAAAACTTCCCTACCTTTATCTAAATACTGTTCACATATATACTTCAATGTAAACACTTGATCTACACATCCCCTACCCACTCTGAAGCCTCCCTGCTCATCCGCAACCCTACATTCTGTCTTACCTCTAATTCTTTCAATTATAACCCTACCGTATACTTTTCCTGGTATACTCAGTAAACTTATTCCTCTATAATTTTTACAATCTCTTTTGTCCCCTTTCCCTTTATATAAAGGGACTATACATGCTCTCCGCCAATCCCTAGGTACCTTCCCCTCTTTCATACATTTATTAAACAAAAGTACCAACCACTCCAACACTATATCCCCCCTGCTTTTAACATTTCTGTCATGATCGCATCAGTTCCAGCTGCTTTACCCCCTTTCATTCTTCGTAATGCCTCACGTACCTCCACCACACTTACATTCTGCTCTTCTTCACTCCTAAAAGATGGTATACCTCCCTGGCCAGTGCATGAAATTACTGCCTCCCTTTCTTCCTTAACATTTAAAAGTTCCTGAAAATATTCTCGCCATCTACCTAATACCTCCCTCTCCCCATCTACTAACTCCCCTATTCTGTTTTTTTTAACTGACAAATCCATACTTTCCCTAGGCTTTCTTAACTTGTTTAACTCACTCCAAAATTTTTTCTTATTTTCATTAAAATTTCTTGACAGTGCCTCTCCCACACTTTCATCTGCTCTCCTTTTGCACTCTCTTCACCTTTCTTTTACTCTCCATATACTCTGCTCTTCTTATAACACTTCTGCTTTGTAAAAACCTCTCGTAAGCTACCTTTTTCTCTTTTATCACACCCTTTACTTCATCATTCCACCAATCACTCCTCTTTCCTCCTGCCCCCACCCTCCTATAACCACAAACTTCTGCCATATCCCACTAAGGCAGGGTGGCCCAAAAAGAAAAATGAAAGTTTCTCTTTTTAAATTTAGTAATTTATACAGGAGAAAGGGTTACTAGCCCCTTGCTCCCATTATTATTATTATTATTATTATTATTATTATTATTATTATTATTATTATTATTATTTTTATTTTTATTATTATTTTTATTATTATTATTTTTAACACAACCATCTCCCACCAAGGTAAAATGACCCGAAAAAGAAACACTTTCACCATCACACTCACTGTCTTACCAGAGGCTTGCAGATACAATACCTCAGGTATCCTTCCAAAAAGCAAATACGTATCCCAAACCCCTCCTTTAGAATGCAGGCGCTGTACTTTCCACCCCCAGGACTGGTTTCCCTGAATCTATAAACTACTAATTCACATTCTGCCTTCCTGGTTATTTTCATTTTTTCTTTTTTGTCATACTGCATGTTTACCTTTGTGTTTACACATGTGTAGTTATCCTTATTGCACCTTTATAGTGAATGGCTTGATGTATGTTCCAAAAAAAACATTTGGTTACTGTACTAATTTCAAATATTTTTTCTTGAAGACGATCTGTGTGGAAGAATAAGTGGGAGATGACTTATGTTGGACCATCACAAGTATTGGTTAAACCCTTGGCTGGATCAGGCCCTTTTGGCAGCCGTGGAGTTATCCTCAGGTCTCAGTATGGTTATGAAATACATGATGTTCGTATTATGGGTAAGTGTACACTATAATATTTTCTAAACAAAGAGTGGTTTTTGTATACCATATTCATTTTATTGTTTATTGTTATGTATATTGACTCATGAAATCGTAATGACACGATTGCAAACAAATCATACCATGTGCAGGGATAGACCCCACAGCCATAAAACTCCAGGCCAATGCTCTAGTCACTGGCCCAGCTGGCTACAACAACATAGGAAGGTTAGCATAGGCACCACTGTGACCACAAATGCAAGCTTTTACAGACGACTCTCCCGCCAGCGTGACCTTGGCTAGCTCTGGAGTTTACCTGCAGAGAGTTCCGGGGGTCAGCGCCCCCGCGGCCCGGTCTGTGACCAGGCCTCCTGGTGGATCAGAGCCTGATCAACCAGGCTGTTGCTGCTGGCTGCATGCAAACCAACGTACGAGCCACAGCCCGGCTGATCAGGAACCAACTTTAGGTGCTTGTCCAGTGCCAGCTTGAAGACTGCCAGGGGTCTGTTGGTAATCCCCCTTATGTATGCTGGGAGGCAGTTGAACAGTCTTGGGCCCCTGACACTTATTGTATGGTCTCTTAACGTGCTAGTGACACCCCTGCTTTTCATTGGGGGGATGTTGCATCGTCTGCCAAGTCTTTTGCTTTCGTAGTGAGTGATTTTCGTGTGCAAGTTCGGTACTAGTCCCTCTAGGATTTTCCAGGTGTATATAATCATGTATCTCTCCCGCCTGCGTTCCAGGGAATACAGGTTTAGGAACCTCAAGCGCTCCCAGCTCTAGCACAAGTCCCCTCAAAGCTGTCATTATGACTCACAAAATCGTAATGACATGATTGCAAACAAACCATACCACGGGCAGGGATAGAACTACTGTGAACGGTGGTGCCTATGCTAACCTTCCTATGGTGTATAAATATACCTAGTCGGACAAATCTTCTTGTAGCCAGCTGGCCCAGTGGCTAGCTCATCGATCTGGAGTTTTATGACTCTCTGAGTGTGGGTTCTGTTCCCGCCCGTGGTATGGTTTGTTTGCAATCGTGTCATTATGATTTCATAAGTCATGATGACAGCTTTAACGGGACTTGAGCTAGAGGTAGTCATGGCCATACTGGTGTGAGATTCATCTGTAAAAACTTGCATTTGTGGTCACAGTGGTGCCTATGCTAACCTTCCTTCCTTTCTTCTTCTTTCAACACACCGGCCGTATCCCACCGAGGCGGGGTGGCCCAAAAGGAAAAATGAAAGTTTCTCTTTTTACATTTAGTAATATATACAGGAGAAGGGGTTACTAGCCCCTTGCTCCTGGCATTTTAGTCGCCTCTTACAACATGCATGGCTTACGGAGGAAGAATTCTGTTCCACTTCCCCATGGAGTTAAGAGGAAATAAACAAGAACAAGAACTAGAAAGAAAATAGAAGAAAACCCAAAGGGGTGTGTATACATGTGCTTGTACATGTATGTGTAGTTGACCTAAGTGTAAGTAGAAGTAGCAAGACGTACCTGAAATCTTGCATGTGTACGAGACAGAAAAAAAAGACACCAGCAATTCTACCATTGTGTAAAACAATTACAGGCTTCAGTTTTACACTCACTTGGCATGACAGTAGTACCTCCCTGGGCAGTTGCTGTCTACCAACCTACTACCTAGGGCTAACCTTCCTATGGTGTATAAATATACCTAGTTGGACAAATCTTGTTGTCAGCTGGCCCAGTGGCTAGCACATTGGTCTGGAGTTTTATGCCTCTGATGGCAGGTTCTGTCCTTGCCTGTGGCATGCTTTGTTATGTATATTGATTTGCCCTTTAGGAGTGAGCAAGGCATGAAGATCTCCAACCTGACAGTCCTTGATTTTGCATAAGCATGGTTCAGGGTTAGTTTTTGGCCAAAAAATTAAGACTTCAAATTTTCAGCAAAATCTCACCCATAGGTCAAGATGGCTGAGGTTATTTTGAGGTCACTCGACCTTGTACATTTCCTCCTGCTGATTGTAACCTTATAAAAGTATGCTTATTTGGAATTGACATTGTCAGAAGTTTGTAACAATAATATGATTATTGATGTACATTGAAAAAATGTAGATTTACCATTTAAATGTTTGGAGTTATGATTTGACTTCTTAGATACTGAATTCCAAAAAATTATAATTAAGAAAAAGTTTGCCCTGTCATTGCTCTGTAATTATGAACTGTATGTAGCTATATATACTGTACTTTTGGGAGATTCAAAAGAAAAGTTGCAAAAGTTAGTAGACAAGTTTGGAAAGGTGTATAAAGGTAGATACATAATCACTGTCTTTGCAGAGGCACTCAGATACAACAGTTTAGATGTCCCTCCAAACTGTCAATATCCCAAACTCCTCCTTTAAAGTGCAGGCACTATACTTCCTATTTCCAGGACTCAAATCCAGCTAACCAGTGTCCCTGAATCCTTTCACAGAATATTACCCTGCTCACACTCCAGCTCATCAGGTCCCAAGAACAATTTGTCTCCATTCACTCTTATCTAACATGCTCATGCACGTTTGCTGGAAGTCTAAGCCCCTCACCCATGAAACCACCTTTAGTCCCTCCCTCCAGCCTTTTTGACCCCTACCCTGCCTTCCTTTCCCTACAGATTTATATGCTCTCCAAGTCATTCTACTTTGTTCCATTCTCTCTAAAAGACCAAACCACCTCAACAACCTCTCTTCAGCCCACTTGATTAATGCTTTTAGTAACTCCACACCTCCTCCTAATTCCCACACTACAAATTCTCTGCATAATATTTACACTACACATTGCCCTTAGACACGACATCTCCACTGCCTCTGACCACCTCCTCACTGCAGCATTTACAACCCATGCTTCACACCCATATAAGAGTGTTGGTACCACTATACTCTCGTACATTCTCTTCTTTTCCTCCATGAATAACGCTTTTTTGTCTCCACAGATACCTCAGTGCACCACTCGCATTTTTTCCTTCATCAATTCTGTGGTTAACCTCATCCTTCATAAACCCATTCATTGACAAGCCAACTTCTAAATATCTGAAAACATACTCCCTCCCTCCAATGTGATATCAAATTATATGAAAGAAATTCATTACAATGCTTTAAATCTTATGTTTTCTAATAGGTTAATACAGACAAACTAATTGTCTGTTCACTAAATATTTATTAAGTGAATTACATCACTGTTGTACTTTTTCCATACTAGGCAAGGATCGTTACCTAATTGCCCGTACCAGTGAAACTTTGCTTCTGGGAGACCTACACAGAAATTTGCTGAGTGAAGTTCATTGGTCAGTAGAACCAGGAACTGAGAAGTTTTATTTTGACAATGAGAATGTTTGTATGATCTTCAATGCTGGTGAGCTTTCACTGGTGGAATATGGCAATAATGAATTGCTTGGATCTGTCAGGTAATTCAGTTAACAAATAATATATTATTTAAATATCCAAAACTGTACTTAAATGTCTTAAGCCTTTATATTATAATATGTTATTTTCTTAACCTTACTTGCAAAAATATCTTCAGATTATATTTCCACAGTCAGTCAATATTTATTTCATATACTGTATTATATTTTATCATCCACTAGTGTGTCCAGTGTAGATTGAATGATCACACCATGAAAATACATTTTTCACACTAATTTACCCACATACCTCCCATGCTTTACTAAATTTAAAAAGAGAAACTTAAGTTTTTCTTTTTGGGCCACCCTGCCTTGGTGGAATACGGCCGGTTTGTTGAAAGAAAGAAAGACCTCCCATGCTCTTATTATTCAGTCAGCCCTTAAATTATGTATAGTGTTCCCTTGCCTGCTGGAAGTCCAAGCCCCTCGCACACAAAACCTCCTTTACCCCCTTCCTCCAACCTTTCCTAGGCCGACCCCTACCCCGCCTTCCTTCCACTACAGACTGATACACTCTTGAAGTCATTCTGTTTCGCTCCATTCTCTCTACATGTCCGAACCACCTCAACACCCCTTCCTCAGCCCTCTGGACAACAGTTTTGGTAATCCCGCACCTCCTCCTAACTTCCAAACTACGAATTCTCTGCATTATATTCACACCACACATTGCCCTCAGGTGTGAATATAATGCAGAGAATTCATAGTTTGGAAGTTAGGAGGAGGTGCGGGATTACCAAAACTGTTGTCCAGAGGGCTGAGGAAGGGGTGTTGAGGTGATTCGGACATGTAGAGAGAATGGAGCGAAACAGAATGACTTCAAGAGTGTATCAGTCTGTAGTGGAAGGAAGGCGGGGTAGGGGTCGGCCTAGGAAAGGTTGGAGGAAGGGGGTAAAGGAGGTTTTGTGTGCGAGGGGCTTGGACTTCCAGCAGGCATGCGTGAGCGTGTTTGATAGGAGTGAATGGAGACAAATGGTTTTTAATACTTGACATGCTGTTGGAGTGTGAGCAAAGTAACATTTATGAAGGGGTTCAGGGAAACCGGCAGGCCGGACTTGAGTCCTGGAGATGGAAGTACAGTGCCTGCACTCTGAAGGAGGGGTGTTAATGTTGCAGTTTAAAAACTGTAGTGTAAAGCACCCTTCTGGCAAGACAGTGATGGAGTGAATGATGGTGAAAGTTTTTCTTTTTCGGGCCACCCTGCCTTGGTGGGAATCGGCCAGTGTGATAATAAAAAAATAAAAAATGTTCCCATGTACATTGCTCATGCTAGTACATTCTGGTAGTTGTTCCATTCATCACTTACATTGGTTGTCTTCACAAACTCTATGTATTATATTATTAATAATGTATTTTGTCTTTAGCATAATGACCTTTTTGTAAAGTTTTTGTAATTCTGCTTTCCTCCATTTAATTGTCTCTTATCATGTTTTACTTCTGTATCCATCCTCAGACTTTGCATAAATTCTAATCTCTTTTAGTAAAATCAAATACTTTTAGTATGACATTTCAAATAAGCATTCAGATTCTAGGGCAACATTATTGACAACATCATTATAGAATTTTATGAGCAACTGATTATTACATTTTAGTATCATTAAGGAAAAGTAAATGCACGAGTTAAAAACTTCATTCTCACTTGTAGATTATTGAAAATTTTCAGTGCAATAAAAGAAACTGTTAATCATTTAAAATTTAAACATGTATATACAGTAGTACCTCAGTACTCGAACTTAATTCATTTCAGAAGGCTGTTCTAATGCCGATCTGTTCGAGTAGTGAACAAATTTTTCCCAACCAATTTTCTTTTTGGTTGGCTGTTATCACTAATCTCTTAGGCCCCATGGTGACTTATTTATACAAATAATATAAAAAAAAAAGTGCAAAGAAACATGAAATAGTTTACAGCGAAGTTCTGGCAGGTCGTGTTTGTTTGGTCGAATGCCAAGCAAACGGTCAACTACAGAGTGATTTTTTTTTGCCGAACAAAGCGTTCGAATACCAGATTATTCAAGTTGGGGGCTGTTCGAGTACCAAGATTCCACTGTATATATATATGCTAGTGTGTTAAAAAATCTATGGAGAGTCCCTTGTTATACTGTAGGTTTCCATTCATTTGCAATAAATTTATATATTAATAATTTAAAGATGTATCTAGAACATAAATTATTTTGATCATTATCAGGACCGAGTTCATGAACCCCCATCTCACTAGCGTTCGACTGAATGAACGCCGCCAGCGAGGCATAGATGACAACAAGAAGATGGCCTATTTATTGGATCTCAAAACAATATGTATTGGTTGGTATATTTTATTTGGTTTTACAGCTTCCCACATCATCTAAGAATGCACTGTATGGCAGATGTTCTCTTAACTCTTGAGCTGAACATTAGTGACAACCAAGGTGTGGCAAGGTTTTTTCCTTCTTATAAGTTGACAAACATATGAAACTTTTTTTTTTTTTTTTTTTTTTTTTTTCCTGGCAGCCATCTCCCACCAAAGTAGGGTGAATCAAAAGAGCAAACTCATTTCACCATTACTTATTCAATAGCTGTCTTTCCAAAAGTGTACAAACATCACAGTCGAAGTGACCTTCCAGTCTGTAACATCCCCACACCCTCAGAGTGCAAGTTTGGTATTTCCACCTCCAGGACTCAAGTCCATATTACCATGTTCCCATAAATAGTTTTATAAATGTTACCTTGCTCATACTCGCGTACTCACACAAGCCTTCTGGATGATCAAGCTCTTTTCCCCTGTCCCCCCTCTCCCTCCATTCCTTCCTGAGATGAACTCTCTTTCCCCTCTTCCTTCCACCCAATGCTTTACATACTTTTTTTTTTATTAACATGCTGACATTCTCCCACTGAGATAGGGTGACCCAAAAAAAAAAAAACAAAAAAAAAAAACACTTTCAAAATCATTCATACTATCAACGTCTTTGCAGAGGCAAGCAGATATGACAGTTTAGATGTCACTAAACAGCAGATATCCCAAACACCTCCTTTAAAGTGCAGGCATTGTACTTCTCACCTCCAGGTTTCAAGTCTGGCTAACCAGTTTCCCTGAATCCCTTTACAAAATATTAATCTGCTCACACTTCAACAGCTCGTCAAGTCCCAATAACCATTCATCTCCATTTACTCCTAACATGCTCACACATGCTTCTTTTACCCCCTCCCTCCATCCTTTCCCAGGATCATGCCTACCCCTTCTCCCCTCCACTACAGATAGTTACACCCTCCAAGTGAGTGTGGAGGAAGTGTGTGAGGCATTACATAGAATGAAAGGGGGTAAAGCAGCTGGAACTGACAGGATCATGACAGAAATGTTAAAAGCAGGAGGGGATATAGTGTTCGAGTGGTTGGTATTATTGTAGTAGGTTGGTAGACAGCAACCACCCAGGGAGGCACTACCGTCCTGCCAAGTGAGTGTAAAGTGAAAGCCTGTAATTGTTTTACATGATGGTAGGATTGCTGGTGTCTTTTGTCTGTCTCATAAATATGCAAGATTACAGGTACGTCTTGCTACTTCTACTTACACTTAGGTCACACTACACATACATATACACGTTTATTTATACACACATCTGAGTTTTCTTTGAATTTATCTTAATACCTATTGTTCTTATTACTTTTCCTTTTATATCCATGAGGAAGTGGAATAAGAATCTTTCCTCCCTAAGCCATGAATGGTGTAAAAGTCAACTAAAATGCCGGGAACAATGGGCTAGTAACCCCTTTTCCTGTAATAATTACTAAAAAGAATAAGAAGAAAATTGTCAAAGTGGGATGTCTGAATGTGCATGGATGTTGTGCGAACGATAAGAAAGAGATCATTGTGGATGTTATGAATGAGAAGAAGCTGGATGTCCTGGTTTTAAGTGAAACAAAGCTGAAGGAGGTGGGAGAGTTTCAGCGGAGAGGAATAAATGGGATTAGGTCAGGGGTTTCAAATAGAGTTAGAGCTAAAGAAGGAGTAGCACTAATGTTGAAAGATAAGCTACGGCAGGAAAAGAGGGACTATAAATGTATTAATTCAAGGATTATGTAGAGTAATATAAATCTTGGATGTGAAAGTGGATTATAGTAAGCGTATATGCACCTGGAGAAGAGAGAAGTGTAGAGGAGAGAGAGAAATTTTGGGAAATGTTGAGTGAATGTGTGGGGAGTTTTGAACCAAGTGTGAGAGTACTTGTGGTTGGGGATTTTAATGCTAAAGTGGGTAAAAATGTTGTGGAGTGAGTAGTAGGTAAATTTGGGGTGCCAGGGGTACAAGAAAATGGGGAGCCTTTAATTGAGCTATGTGTAGAAAGAGGTTTGGTAATAAGCAATACATATTTTATGAAAAAGAGGATAAATACTATACAAAAATACACCTCAAAGTTAGCATTTTAATCCAAAAAAATGGTCAGTTTTTTTTTTCTCATTATGCACTGCGTGCTGCAGGATTTTTTTTATGTGTTGCACACTGACCACACAGACCCATTCTCTCACATATGGGCCTACCAGCTTTCTCCTGCTTGATTTGAAGCCGCTAGAATTTACAAGTGTGTGTATATATATAATATATATATATATATATATATATATATATATATATATATATATATATATATATATATATATATATAATATATATATATTATATATATATATATATATATATATACATACATAATATATATATATATATATATATATATATATATATATATATATATATATATATATATATATATATATATATACATACATATATATATATATATATATATATATATATATATATATATATATATATATATATATATATATATATATATACAGTGGCCCCCCGGTTAACGATTTTTTTCCACTCCTTAAGTATGTTCGGTGCCAGTACTGACCGAATTAACCCCAAAGGGAAATATTGTGAAGTGATTTTTCCCTTTAGCCCCCCAAAATTTACACGTACAAACGCACTTACATAAATCACTTAAAAATTTGGTCGCTTTTTGGGAGGTAATCGTTTGGGGGGGTCCACTGTAATATATATATACAGTATATATATATAAAAAATTTTAATTATATATTATATTTTATATATATATTATATATATATATATATTATATATAATTAATTATATATAAATATTTTTAAACAATATATATACAGTAATATATATATATATATTAGGGAAAGGGGGACAAAAGAGTTGTAAAAATTTAGAGGAAAAGTTTAGAGTATCCCGGGAAAAGTATGATAGGGTTTTATTAAAAAGAATTAGAGGTAAGACAGAATTAGGTTGCGGATGAGCAGGGAGGCTTCAGAGTGGGTGGGGGATGTGTGACATGTTTTCCATTGAATGTATTTAGAAAAAGGTAGGGAAGTTTTTAGCATTTATGGATTTAGAAAAGGCATATGAAGAGTGGTAGAGGAGCATGGCAGATTTTGAAAGGGTGTTCCCTTTAGGGCATTTCCGCTTTTACGGCGGTACTTGGAACCTAACCCCCGTATAAGTGGGCCTTTCCCTGTTTGGAATAGGTGGTAAGTTACTAATGCTGTAAAGAGCTTTTATGGGTAGTGAGGCTCAGGTTTGGGTGTGTAGAAGAGAGGGAGAAACTTCCCGGAAAAAAGTAGGTTTTAGACAGGGATTGTAATGTCACCTGGTTGTTTAATATTTTATAGATGGGGTTGTAAAAAAAGTAAATCTAGGGTGTTTGGGGGAGGGGGGGGGTTAAATTATGGGGGAAACAAATTCAAAAAGGGGAATTGGGCACAGTTACTTTTTGCTGATGATACTGTGCTTTTGGGGGATTTTAAAGAAAAATTGAAAAAATTAGTGGATGAGTTTGAGAATGTGTGTAAAAGTAGAAAGTTGAAATGAAATAGAAAAGATAAGGTGTGAGGGTATCAAATGTTTAGATAAAGAAAAATGGGTATAAATTTGGGGAGGAGGAGTTGGAAGAAGTGAAGTTTTAGATACTTGGGAGTTGACGTGTCGGTGGATGGTTTATAAGGGTAGGTTTAAACAAGAATTGATAGGGAAAAAAAAGGGGAGTGGTGCATTGGGTATATGTGGGGGTCAAAAAAAAAGTTATCTATGGGGGCAAAAAAGGGAAAGTATGAAGTATAGTAGTACCAACACTCTTATATGGAGTGAAGCTTTGGGTGGTAAATGCAGCAGCGAGGGGGACGGTTTTTAGGGATGGGATGTCCTGTCTAAGGGCAATGTTTGGTGTAAAAATTTTTCGAAAATTCGGAGTGTGGAAAATTTGGAAAGGGGTGGAGTTAATAAAAGCTTAGTCAGAGGGCAGAAAGGGGGTTTTTGAGGTGGTTTGGTATTTTAAAAGAATGGGGCAAAGTAGAAAAGACATGGAAAACATAAAATCTATAGGGGAAGGAAGGGGGGTAGGGGTCATCCCCAAAGGGGGTTTGGGAAAAAGGGGGTTTAAAAAAGGTTTTGTGGGCTTTGGGGCTTGGGTTTCCGGGGCCTGTGCGTGACTGTTAGATAGAGGAATGGAGGCGAATGTACTTGGGACCTGACAATCTGTTGGAAAATGTGAGCGGGGAATATTTAGTGAAAGGGGTTCAGGGAAACCGGTTATGTTCATATAGTCGGGCTTTAGTCCTGGAAAAAGGTAAGTACATGCCGCACTTTAAGGGGGGGGTTTGGGATATTGGCAGTTTGGAGGGATATGTTGTGTATCTTTATAAGTATAAGCTTCTAAGCTGTCGTATTCTGAGCACCTCTGTAAAAGCAGTGATAATGTGCGAGTGTGGTGAAAGTGTTGAATGATAATGAAAGTATTTTCTTTTTGGGGATTTTCTTTCTTTTTTGGGTCACCCTGCCTCGGTGGGAGACGGCCGACTTGTTGAAAAAAAAAAATATATATATATATGTCAAGCACGGTGGCTCGTATGACGTATATATACGACTGAAACAGTCAAAGGGTTAAAAACAGAGTAGGGAAGTTAGTAGATGGGGAGATGGAGGTATTGGGTAGATGGCAAGAATATTTTGAGGAATTTTTAAATGTCGAAGAAAGGGAGGCGGTAATTTCATGCACTGGCCAGGGAGGTATACCATCTTTTAGGAGTGAAGAAGAGCAGGATGTGGGTGTGGGGGAGGTGCATGAGGCATTACGTAGAATGAAAGGGGGTAAAGCAGCTGGAACTGACGGGATCATGACAGAAATGTTAAAAGCAGGGAGGATATAGTGTTGAAGTGGTTGGTATTTTTGTTTAATAAATGTATGAAAGAGGGGAAGGTACCTAGGGATTGGTGGAGAGCATGCATAGTCCCTTTATATAAAGGGAAGGGGGACAAAAGAGATTGTAAAAATTATAGAGGAATAAGTTTACTGAGTATACCAGGAAAGTGTACGGTAGGGTTATTATTGAAAGAATTAGAGGTAAGACAGAATGTAGGATTGTGGATGAGCAAGGAGGGTTTAGAGTGGGTAAGGGAAATGTAGATCAAGTGTTTACATTGAAACATATATGTGAACAGTATTTAGATAAAAGTAGGGAAGTTTTATTGCATTTATGTATTTAGAAAAAGCATATGATAGAGTGGATAGGGGAGCAATGTGGCAGATGTTGCAAGTATATGGAATAGGTGGTAAGTTACTAAATGCTGTAAAGAGTTTTTTTTGAGGATAGTGAGGCTCAGGTTAGGGTGTGTAGAAGAGAGGGAGACTACTTCCCGGTAATAGTAGGTCCTAGACAGGGATGTGTAATGTCACCATGGTTGTTTAATATATTTATAGATGGGGTTGTAAAAGAAGTAAAATCTAGGGTGTTTGGGAGAGGAGTAGGATTAAATTATGGGGAATCAAATACCAAATAGGAATTGACACAGTTACTTTTTGCTGATGATACTGTGCTTATGGGAGATTTTAAAGAAAAATTGCAAAGGTTAGTGGACAAGTTTGGGAGTGTGTGTAAAGGTAGAAAGCTGAAAGTGAATATAGAAAGAGTAAGGTAAGGGTAAGGGTACAAATTTTTTAGATAAAGAAAAAATTTGGGTACAGATTGGAGGGTGAGGGGTAAGGGGAAGTTATGTTTTTAAAATATTTGGGGGTTTCCGTGTCAGCGGATGGGTTTATGAAAGGGTGGGGTTAAAACCCTATAATTGAAGAAGGAAAAAAAGGGGAGTGGTGGTTGAGGGATTTGGGAGACAAAAAATGTTTCAATGGGGGCAAAGAAGGGAATGTATGGGGGTGTTGTAGTTTCTAACACTCTTAATGGGTGCAAATCTTGGGGTTTAAAAGCTTTCAGCTAGGGGGCAAATTGGGGGCAGTGGAGTTCCTGTCTAAGGGCAAAAGGGTGGGTTAAAAATTAAGCAGAAAATTTTAGTGGGTTGGGGAAATTTGGGGGATTGTGTGGAGTTAATAAAAGTTTTTTAGTCAGAGGGCTGAAAAATGGTTTGTTGAGGTGGTTTGGGCATTTAGAGAGAATGGTTTAAAGTAGAATACAGGGGGTTTTTAAAAATTTTGTAGGGAAAAAAGGGAAGGGGGGGGGTAGGGGTTGTCCCAAAAATGTTGGGGGAGGGGTTTTAAAAGGGGGTTTTGTTTTGCGCAGGGCTTTTTGGGCTTTCAGCGGGCATGGTTTGCGTGTTTAATAGGAAATGAATGGAGACAAAAAGGTTTTTTTAAAAATTCTTTACGTGCGTTTGGGGTTGAGCAAAAAACAAGAAGGGTTCAGGGAAACCCACAAGCCCGACTTGAATCCTGGGGGATGGGATTTCAGTGCCTGCACTCTGAAAGGGGAGGTTTTTAATTTTGGCCCGTTTAAAAACTGTATGTTTTAAAGCACCCCTTTGGGGAAGACAGTGATGGAGTGAATGATGGTGAAAAATTTTTCTTTTCGGGGGCCCCTCGCCCTTGGGGGGAATCAGCCCCGTTGCTAAAAAAAAAAAAAAGAACCCAGTAAGAAAAAAAGAAGAAAACCCCGAAGATTTTGGGATGTATTTGCCCTTGTACATGCATATGTAGTGTGACCTAAGTGTAAGAAGAAGTAGCAAGATGTACCTGGTATCTTGAATGTATTTTTTGTTTTTTTCAACAAACCAGCAGTATCCCACCGAGACAGGGTGGCCCAAGAAGAAAAACAAAAGTTTCTCTTTTTAAATTTAGTAATTTATACAGGAGAAGGGGTTACTGGCCCCTTGCTCCCGGCATTTTAGTTGCCTCTTACAACACGCATGGCTTACGGAGGAAGAATTCTGTTCCACTTCCCCATGAAGATAAGAGGAAATAAACAAGAACAAGAACTAGAAAGAAAATAGCAGAAAACCCATAGGGGTGTGTGTGTATATATATGCTTGTACATGTATGTGTAGTGTGACCTAAGTGTAAGTAGAAGTAGCAAGACATACCTGAAATCTTGCATGTTTATGAGACAGAAAAAAGACACCAGCAATCCTACCATCATGTAAAACAATTACAGGCTTTCGTTTTATTGTCACTTGGCAGGACAGTAGTACCTCCCTGGGCAGTTGCTGTCTACCAACCTACTACCTAGAATTGTAAAAATTATAGGGGAATAAGTTTACCAAGTATATGTACCAGGTAAAGTGTATGGTAGGATTATTATTGAAGAGCAGGAAGATGTTACAAGTGTTTGAAATAGGTAGTAAGTTACTAAATGCTGTATAGAGTTTTTATGAGGATAGTAAGGCTCAGGTTAGGGTGTATAGGAGAGAGGGAGATTACTTCCTAGACAAGGATGTGTGATGTCACCATGATTGTTTAACATATTTATAGTATGTCAGCAGATAGATTTATGAAGGATGAGGTTAACCATAGAATTGATGAAGGAAAAGAGGTGAGTGGTGCATTGAGGTATCTGTGGAGACAAAAAACATTGTCCATGGAGGCAAAGAAGGGAATGTACGAGAGTATAGTGGTGCCAACACTCTTATATGAGTGTGAAGCATGGGTTGTAAATGCTGCAGCAAGGAGGAGGCTGGAAGCAGTGGAGATGATGTGTCTAAGGGCAATGTGTGGTGTAAATATTGTGCAGAGAATTCATAGTGTGGAAATTAGGTGTGGAGTACTAAAAGTATTAGTCAGAGGGCTGAAGAGGGGTTGTTGAGGTGGTTTGGTAATTTAGAGAGAATGGAACAGAATAGATTGATTTGGAGAGCATAAAAATCTGTAGGGGAAGGAAGGCAGGAGTAGGGGTCATCCTCATAAAGGTTGGAGAGAGGGGTAACTGAGGTTTTGTGGGCGAGGGACTTGGGCTTCCAGCAAGTGTGCATGAGCATATTAGATAGGAATGAATGGAGATAAATGGTTTTTGGGACCTGACAAGCTGTTGGAGTGTGAGCAGGGTAATATTTTGTGAAAGGGTTCAAGGAAACTGGTTAGCCAGACTTTCCTGGAGATGGGAAGTACAATGCCTGCACTTTAAAGAAGGGGTTTGGGATATTGGCTTTTGGGAGTGACATCTAAGCTATCATATCTGAGTGCCTCTGCAAAGACAGTGATATTGTGTGAATGATGGTGAAAGTGTTGAATGATGGTGTTTCTTTTTTGGGTCACCCTGCCTTGGTGGGAGACAGTTGTCATGTTGAAAAAAATCAAGAATATGTCTACATTCTCTTTTTCAGTGGATTTGACTTATGGCCTCTCACTGGGACAAGTAACTCACGACTCGCGAATCGATTGGGTAGAATTAAATGAAACAGGTTCTCAGCTGTTGTTCAGAGATAAGCGGCAAAGACTGATGCTTGTAAATGTGGCAACTCTTCAGAAAACAACAATACTAAATTACTCAACGTTTGTTCAGGTTGGCATTCAGAGTACTGTGGAGCAGTTGTTCTGGCTAAATGCTGCACAGTAAATTTGTTTTTCTAATTCATTAATTTGAAGTGACATGAAATTTTTGATATATAGTGATATTGTGGAAAAATTAGTCAGGTGTCACAAATACTTTGTTTTCCATGTATTGTATGTAATGTATGTCTTTCAGGAATAAGTATAACAATTCTCCCTACAAAAATTAAGTTGAATTTGAAGTAGAGCTTTATTGACTAGCTGTAATACTTCCAGTCTTAAGCCAACCAAGAACAGCAATACAACCATAAAAACTACCCTAGAAAACATATCAGTGTTGCTGTTTTAAACCAAACACAACATCAGAGGGTTGCTTTTCCTGTCATGCATTGCATGGGGCAGGACTCTTTATTTTTTGTACTGTGCACACCAACCACACAGACCCATTCTCTCATGTGCTGAAGAAGTATATCTTCATGAGTGACACTGGTGTCAGTGATGTAGCTCTGTGTGGAAGGCTGTGAAAGGGTTAATAACCTAATGACTTGGGTGGACTCTGACATACTCACAGTTACAAATAATGCTGAAGTTATGAGGTTGCAAGTAGACCTGGATAGACTACTACTGAAATAGTTGAACAATTGCTTACTAGATTCAACCCTATCAGATGCAAATTAATGAAAATGGGAAACCAAAGTATGACCACCGGGGTAATGATCTTTCTGAGCCTGTTGGATCAAATCTGATTACCTCCCATTCCCTAAGTAATGTGTGACCCTCTAAGTTTAACACTTCTTCATGAAAAGAATAATATACAGGAGTTTAGATGAAATATGACTAATTCAGTCAGGTACATTAATTACACGAGTTAACATTCAAAATATACTGTCTGTATCATCTTTCACTCTCTGTTGATGCATTTAATTCATTTTCTCAAGTGTTCTGACTAAAAGAACATTGTTCTTTGATGCAGTGGGTTCCAGGTAGTGATGTTGTGGTAGCACAGAGTCGTGAGCAGTTGTGTGTGTGGTACAACATTGACACCCCTGAACGAGTAACTCTATTCCAAATTAAAGGAGAAGTTGTTGATGTGGAGAGAGCAGATGGCAGGACTGAGGTATAGTATACATATATTTCTTAATTAAAATTTTCAAAGTGTTATGATTAGTTAGGAACATTCAGTACAATGTTTATTTGAAGAAGAATTTATATTATTGTAGTTGTATGTATTTGGAAAAATTACATGAAGTCGAAATTGCAGTGCTACTTTTTCATAGTGTAATATATTGATTTGCTCTATAATAAGTTATTATTATAATTAATAGAATTTAAAAGAGGGTAGGATGAATCTTTTAGGGATGGTAAAAAATATTTTTGCAAGGAAGGTTATAAAGTGGGAAAATATAATGGAGAAGTGAAGAAAATCCTTCCCTCATAAGTCATGTTGTAAGAGGCAACTAAAATACTGAGAGCAAGGGGGCTAGTAATCCCTTTTGTACTAATTAGTAAATATAAAATGAAGTTTTATTCTTCTTTGTTGGGTCACCCTACCTCAGTGGTGAGAAGATTGAGGGAGCTGTTCTTTGTGCTACTGATTCACTATATTTATATACAGTGGACCCCTGCTTTACGATCAACTCCCAATGCGACCAATTATGTAAGTGTATTTATGTAAGCGCGTTTGTACGTGTATGTTTGGGGGTCTGAAATGGACTAATCTAATTCACAATATTCCTTATGGGAACAAATTTGTTCAGTAATGGCACCTGAACATACTTCTGGAATGAAATAATATCGTAAACCGGGGGTCCACTGTATATATTTTTTTTTTTTTTCAGCAAGTCGGCCGTCTCCCACCGAGGCAGGGTGACCCAAAAAGAAAGAAAATCCCCAAAAAGAAAATACTTTCATCATCATTCAACACTTTCACCTCACTCACACATAATCACTGTTTTTGCAGAGGTGCTCAGAACACAACAGTTTAGAAGCATATACGTATAAAGATACACAACATATCCCTCCAAACTGCTAATATCCCAAAACCCCTCCTTTAGAGTGCAGGCATTGTACTTCCCATTTCCAGGACTCAAGTCCGGCTATATAAAAATAACCGGTTTCCCTGAATCCCTTCACTAAATATTACCCTGCTCACACTCCAACAGATCGTCAGGTCCCAAATACACTGTACCATTTGTCTCCATTCACTCCTATCGAACACGCTCATGCACGCCTGCTGGAAGTCCAAGCCCCTCGCCCACAAAACCTCCTTTACCCCTTCCTTCCAACCTTTTCGAGGATGACCCCTACCCCGCCTTCCTTCTCCTACAGATTTAAATGCTCTCCATGTCATTCTGCTTTGATCCATTCTTTCTAAATGACCAAACCACCTCAACAACCCCTCTTCAGCCCTCTGACTAATACTTTTATTAACTCCACACCTTCTCCTAATTTCCACACTTCAAATTCTCTGCATAATATTTACACCACACATTGCCCTTAGACAGGACATCTTCATTGCCTCCAACCGCCTCCTCGCTGTATCATTTACAACCTAAGCTTCACTCCCATATAAGAGTGTTGGCACCATTATACTTTCATACATTCCCTTCTTTGCCTCCATTGATAACAGTTTTTGTCTCCACACATACCTCAACGCACCACTCACCTTTTTTCCCTCGTCAATTCTATGGTTAACTCATCCTTCATAAACCCGTCCGCTGACACATCAACTCCCAAATATCTAAAAACATTCACTTCTTCCATACTCCTTCTCTCCAATTTTTCTTTATCTAAATCATTTAATACCCTCATCACCTTACTCTTATCTATGTTCACTTTCAACTTCCTACCTTTACACACCCTCCCAAACTCGTCCACTAACCTATATAAGAATTTCACATATAACATCTCAGAGCCCACATCTTAAATACTTCATCATGTACATGTATACTACAGTGCTAGTAACGGCATTATGCCGCCCTTTCCCCCACACACGTACCAAAACACAAACACATGCCGTGAAAGATTGTATTATATATATATATTTGCACACTTGCTGAGGTTTTAATACTTGGTGCTGCATCCTTTACACTTAGTCACGTCCCTCAGCCATGTAGGAAGACTCTCACACAAATTCTTGAGGGTTTGGGGAGGTATATGATTCCATTCCTCATGTAGAGCAGCCTCCAGCCAGGGGATGGAACTGATATCCTTGCCCAGTAAACTTTGTTTCACTATTGACCAGAGGTTTTCAATAGGGTTTAGGTCTGGGGAATTGCCAGGCGAATTGCTTGGCCAGTCATTAAAGAACCTCACTTCACAGTCCTTAAGCCAATGAACTACAGATTTGGCAGTATGACACGGTGCACAATCCTGCATAAAAACCGTAGCCCCACACTTGTCAAACGCCTCGGGTAAATTGTCACACAATAACTCCAGGTAATTATACTGGTTCATATACTGGTTTTTAGGAAGCACAATGAGTTCACCAACACTCTGAGCACTGAAATACCCCCAGACCATGAGCGATTCTGTGTGTTTGGTGGTTCCACAGGTGTATCGTGGGTCTAGTGGGTCACTTCCTCTGGGCCACTACACACGTCCCCCACGGTTACAGGTGATAATGAAGGTTGCTTTATCACTCCAAAGTACTTCAGACCACTGTTGAGGATTCCAGTGAAGATATTTCTTTGCATAAATCCAGCCTACATTTCTTCTGTGGCTTGGAGAGGATCAGTTTCTTAACCTGGTGGTGACTACTGTAGCCCAGTTCTGACACACATCTGTTAACAGTTCATACAGACACCTCTGAGAGAAGATGTGGGTTCTTTTCTTTCAATTCTCTATTAGTTATCTTAGGTGTACTCTCTAACTGCTTCTTTAACACAGTTAATTTACGAACAGATATCTTCTTCGAGGGGTCAGGCTGAGGTTTGGCAGATGGTAACTCGACACCTCTACTAGCCTTGAAACGCTACATCCAGTTCCTCACTGAATGCTCACACACACACACCAACATTCTCCACTATTTCTGTCATCTGGTGCCCAGCTTTGTGAAGCCCTATGATTTTAGCTATAGTTTCAGGTGTTAAAGATTTCCTTTTACCCATAATCAAACATGTATAGCCCCAAAACCAAAAGAACACTGAACAAAAGATGGGGGCAGATGAAAGACAAAAGTGCAATACTTCCTCTCACCACAGCCATGTGAGCACTGAGGAGTCACTGTGGAATGTGGCGGCAGGCCATGACATCATGCTAATGGCTGCTACCCGGCATAATGCACTGACGAAAAAAGAGCCCCTGTATGGTAGGCCTTTGATGTTCGTCACAGCATTACGCCAGGGCTCTCATCTGGCATAATGGTGTGACTAGCACTGTATATCATACTATATACTGTATCATCATAGAAGAAGACCAGTGAACTCATCAGTGAGCAAAAATTATGTTTTCTATAACAGATATGTTCATCGTTCTTTCAAGTATCATATGCATTACTCAGGTTGGCAAGTTCATCACTTTTACCATGACCATGTGGTCTTGCTCAAAAATAGTGAATTGGCTGACAAGAAAATCAATGTATTTGTCATACCACCTTAAAGCTCATTAAATTTACTTTAAAATGAGACAAGCTTGATGAAAATTGTAGGGTTGGTTACTGAAACATTGTTGTAAACACGTTGCAAAAATTTATAGGTTATTTTCTAAAAAGTGTCATTCGGCGAGTTCATCAACATTTTTTTCTCAGCATCTCATGTAAGACAACATGCAGCCTGTGGTAAATATGTTTATTTATTTCTCTTCATCAGATTACAAGGTATACACTACTTAATTGCATAGTATTGAGAGCATGAAGAATAAAAGTCACTATAGCTTGACCTTTAACTATTGATCATGATGAGATTACTGGAAGTGGTCACAAAGTTGTTTGTATATTAACAGTGCAGTATTAAAAGGTAACAGATTAAGGTATAGACATATTTTTTAACACATCGGTCGTTTCCCACCGAGGCAGGGTGACCCACAAAGAAAGAAAAAACCTTTCATCATTGTTCAACACTTTCACCATTATTCATACATAATCACTGTCTTTGCAGAGGTACTCAGATATGACAGTTTAGATGTCCCTCCAAACAGCCAATATCCCAAACCCCTCCTCTAAAGTGCTGGAATTGTGTTTCCCATTTCCAGGACTCAAATTCTGCTAACTGGTTTCCCTGAATCCCTTCACAAAATATTACCCTGCTCACACTTTTGGGTAATTCTAAAGTAAATATGTAGTGTATGTCTTCAGTAATTTTTTTTTTTTTTTTAACAAGTCGGCCATCTCCCACCAAGGCAGGGTGACCCAAAAAGAAAGAAAATACCCAAAAAGAAAATAATTTCATCATCATTCAATACTTTCACCTCACTCACACATAATCACTGTTTTTGCAGAGGTGCTCAGGACACAACAGTTTAGAAGCATATACGTATAAAGATACACAACATATCCCTCCAAACTGCTAATATCCCGAAACCCCTCCTTTAGAGTGCAGGCATTGTACTTCCCATTTCCAGGACTCAAGTCCAGCTATATAAAAATAACCAGTTTTCCTGAATCCCTTCACTAAATATTACCCTGCTCACACTCCAACAGATCGTCAGGTCCCAAATACACTGTACCATTCGTCTCCATTCACTCCTATCGAACACGCTCATGCACGCCTGCTGGAAGTCCAAGCCCCTCGCCCAAAAACCTCCCTTACCCCTTCCTTCCAACCTTTTCAAGGACGACCCCTACCCCGCCTTCCTTCCCCTACAGATTTAAATGCTCTCCATGCCATTCTACTTTGATCCATTCTCTCTAAATGACCAAACCACCTCAACAACCCCTCTTCAGCCCTCTGACTAATACTTTTATTAACTCCACACCTTCTCCTAATTTCCACACTCCGAATTTTCTGCATAATATTTACACCACACATTGCTCTTAGACAGGACATCTCCACAGCCTCCAACTGCCTCCTCGCTGCCGCATTCACAACCCAAGCTTCACACCCATATAAGAGTGTTGGTACTACTATACTTTCAGTAATGTATTTCAGGTTATTGTACAAGATGGTGTCCAGGAATTATCCTATGCCTTAGATGAAGGGTTAATAGAGTTTGGAACTGCTATTGATGATGGTGACTTCTTGCGGGCCATGAATTATCTTGAGGTATGTATTTCCTTTGAGGCAGGTACTTTGATGCTGATAAAGTACTCTTTCTCTAAAGAATAGATGCTTCCTTTCTTTTCATTAAGTGGAATCAGATTGTCTGTTAGGAAATAATGCATTGTATTTTTTCCAGCTTTAATTTTTTCAATTTTTTTCGGTATTTTTTCTTTATTTTCATTAATTCTTGGCTCATACTTTTAGTTTTTCTGGTTTTTATCATCACAAGTTTCATTTTTGTTACTTATAAACTGATATTCCTTATCCGTTGGTATTAGTCATACACAAATAACCTTACAGTTTATATCACATGCATAAATATAACCACATCACTTCCATTAGACTGCCACATTCAGAAAAGCTGAGTGAACTGACATGGTCCACTAGCCTAGCCTACTTCCATGAGCAGCGTATGATAATTTGCCATTGATACATCACAAGTTTTTTTTGTTATTCATAAATAAATTATTAAAAAATTTGTTACAGAAAAAATATAGCACAGTAATATCAAATGAAAACAACAAGGCTCCCCACATCAACAGTTGTAAACAAACTGCCATAAGGTGTACCATTAAAAATAACAAACTAAAATGACTGATGTGCTTGTCATTCATGTTTTGCACAGGGGAAATAATGAAATATACACTAAACATGTGTAAAAAAAAGTTTACCAATATATATCATAAATAGACAATATTACATAAAGAGTATGGAGATTAAAAATCTGTTTCAAAGTAACATTGGAATATTCACTGTACAAAAAAAAAAAGAATGAAAAATAATCAACTCCAGTCTCAAAGTATTGATTCAAAACTTTCATAACATGACTGTTGTAAATGTGGTGTGGAATAGACCACTATATCAAACCTGTATGAAACTTGTAATGTCTCTGTCCATGGAAGGCTAAGAGAGTGTCAGATAGTTGTTGTCCATGCATAATATAAATAAGGTAGAGGTTGAAAGGGGAATTTTTCCTATGTGCTGCTCTCCTTTTTTTCTCTCTGGTCCTTTGGAATGCTTTTTCATATTTGTTTTTGTCAGTCATAAGATTTTTTCTTAATGAGGTCTACAATTTTCTGGCTAATTAAAGCTATCCATAGTGGTCAGGACACATTATATGATACCAGCCTAGTCTCCTAATCTAAAATTCCTGCACTTCTTTTATTTTATTATTTGTTTTTTTACCTCAACAGTCTTATCCCTCCAAGACAGAGACTTGTGTTTCCAGCATATGTTGCTGTAATTACCTATTTATTTTTTAAGTGAAACTCTTGCTTTTGGGCCCAAGTTTCAATTCTTGATTCACTAATGTGAATGAACTTAATGAGATTTACATATGAACATCTGTATTGTATGATGCTATCTTTTACTACCTTTTAATCTAGCTCTGTTTCTTTGATTCTGTGTGTATAATTTATTATAAGAATCACACTAATTATTAATTTCTTTTTTTATTTCAGACACTGCCAATGACTGCTGAGGCAGAAACCATGTGGCGTACACTTGCTCGACTGACACTGGAGGGGCGTCATTTGTATATTGCTGAGCGTTGTTATGCAGCCCTTGGGGATGTTTCCAAGGTTAGATACCTCCAGGGAATCAACCAAATTAGGCAAGACATTCAAAATACCACAGGTTAGATCTGTTGTATAATTCTTTTAATAAAAATTATGTGATTGAATCGTTTTCTTGACTCGTATATATTTTTTTGTTCATCAAACTGGCCATATCCCACTGAGGCAGGGTGACCCTAAAAGAGAAAATGAAAGTTTTTTTTTTTAAATACTTTCATCATCATTTAACACTTTCACCTCACTCACACATGATCACTTTTTTTGCAGAGGTGCTCAGAATACAACAGTTTAGAAGCGTATACATGTATGTATCTGGAGTATCTGAGAGAGTTAGAGCAAAGGAAGGGGTAGCAGTAATGTTAAATGATCAGTTATGGAAGGAGAAAAGAGAATATGAATGTGTAAATTCAAGAATTATGTGGATTAAAGTAAAGGTTGGATGCGAGAAGTGGGTCATAATAAGTGTGTATGCACCTGGAGAAGAGAGGAATGCAGAGGAGAGAGAGAGATTTTGGGAGATGTTAAGTGAATGTATAGGAGCCTTTGAACCAAGTGAGAGAGTAATTATGGTAGGGGACCTGAATGCTAAAGTAGGAGAAACTTTTAGAGAGGGTGTGGTAGGTAAGTTTGGGGTGCCAGGTGTAAATGATAATGGGAGCCCTTTGATTGAACTTCGTATAGAAAGGGGTTTAGTTATAGGTAATACATATTTTAAGAAAAAGAGGATAAATAAGTATACAAGATATGATGTAGGGCAAAATGACAGTAGTTTGTTGGATTATGTATTGGTAGATAAAAGACTGTTGAGTAGACTTCAGGATGTACATGTTTATAGAGGGGCCACAGATATATCAGATCACTTTCTAGTTGTAGCTACACTGAGAGTAAAAGGTAGATGGGATACAAGGAGAATAGAAGCATCAGGGAAGAGAGAGGTGAAGGTTTATAAACTAAAAGAGGAGGCAGTTAGGGTAAGATATAAACAGCTATTGGAGGATAGATGGGCTAATGAGAGCATAGGCAATGGGGTCGAAGAGGTATGGGGTAGGTTTAAAAATGTCGTGTTAGAGTGTTCAGCAGAAGTTTTGTGGTTACAGGAAAGTGGGTGCGGGAGGGAAGAGGAGCGATTGGTGGAATGATGATGTAAAGAGAGTAGTAAGGGAGAAAAAGTTAGCATATGAGAAGTTTTTACAAAGTAGAAGTGATGCAAGGAGGGAAGAGTATATGGAGAAAAAGAGAGAGGTTAAGAGAGTGGTGAAGCAATGTAAAAAGAGAGCAAATGAGAGAGTGGGTGAGATGTTATCAACAAATTTTGTTGAAAATAAGTAAAAGTTTTGGAGTGAGATTAACAAGTTAAGAAAGCCTAGAGAACAAATGGATTTGTCAGTTAAAAATAGGAGAGGAGAGTTATTAAATGGAGAGTTAGAGGTATTGGGAAGATGGAGGGAATATTTTGAGGAATTGTTAAATGTTGATGAAGATAGGGAAGCTGTGATTTCGTGTATAGGACAAGGAGGAATAACATCTTGTAGGAGTGAGGAAGAGCCAGTTGTGAGTGTGGGGGAAGTTCGTGAGGCAGTAGGTAAAATGAAAGGGGGTAAGGCAGCCGGGATTGATGGGATAAAGATAGAAATGTTAAAAGCAGGTGGGGATATAGTTTTGGAGTGGTTGGTGCAATTATTTAATAAATGTATGGAAGAGGGTAAGGTACCTAGGGATTGGCAGAGAGCATGCATAGTTCCTTTGTATAAAGGCAAAGGGGATAAAAGAGAGTGCAAAAATTATAGGGGGATAGGTAGTAGGTTGGTAGACAGCAACCACCCAGGGAGGTACTACCGTCCTGCCAAGTGAGTGTAAAACGAAAGCCTGTAATTGTTTTACATGATGGTAGGATTGCTGGTGTCTTTTGTCTGTCTCATAAATATGCAAGATTACAGGTACGTCTTGCTACTTCTACTTACACTTAGGTCACACTACACATACATGTACATGTTTATTTATACACACTCATCTGAGTTTTCTTTGATTTTATCTTAATAGTTCTTGGTCTTATTACTTTTCCTTTTATATCCATGGGGAAGTGGAATAAGAATCTTTCCTCCGTAAGCCATGCTTGTTGTAAAAGTCAACTAAAATGCCAGGAACAATGGGCTAGTAACCCCTTTTCCTGTAAAGATTACTAAAAAGAATAAGAAGAAGAAAATAGTCAAAGTGGGAAGTCTGAATGTGCGTGGATGTTGTGCAAATGATAAGAAAGAGATGATTGTGGATGTTATGAATGAGAAGAAACTGGATGTCCTGGCTTTAAGTTAAACAAAGCTGAAGGGGGTGGGAGAGTTTCAATGGAGAGGAATAAATGGGATTAGGTCAGGGGTTTCAAATAGAGTTAGAGCTAAAGAAGGAGTAGCAATAATGTTGAAGGATAAGCTATGGCAGGAAAAGAGGGACTACAAATGCATAAATTCAAGGATTATGTGGAGTAAAATAAAGATTGGATGTGAAAAGTGGGTTATAGTAAGCGTATATGCACCTGGAGAAGAGAGAAGTGTAGAGGAGAGAGAGAGAGATTCTGGGAAATGTTGAGTGAATGCGTGGGGAGTTTTGAATCAAGTGTGAGAGTAATGGTGGTTGGGGATTTCAATGCTAAAGTGGGTAAAAATGTTATGGAGGGAGTAGTAGGTAAATTTGGGGTGCCAGGGGTAAATGTAAATGGGGAGCCTTTAATTGAGCTATGTGTAGAAAGAAATTTGGTAATAAGTAATACATATTTTATGAAAAAGAGGATAAATAAATATACAAGGTATGATGTAGCACGTAATGAAAGTAGTTTGTTAGATTATGTATTGGTGGATAAAAGGTTGATGGGTAGGCTCCAGGATGTACATGTTTATAGAGGGGCAACTGATATATCAGATCATTATTTAGTTGTAGCTACAGTTAGAGTAAGAGGTAGATGGGAAAAGAGGAAGGTGGCAACAACAAGTAAGAGGGAGGTGAAAGTGTATAAACTAAGGGAGGAGGAAGTTCGGGCGAGATATAAGCGACTGTTGGCAGAAAGGTGGGCTAGTGCAAAGATGAGTAGTGGGGGGGTTGAAGAGGGTTGGAATAGTTTTAAAAATGCAGTATTAGAATGTGGGGCAGAAGTTTGTGGTTTAGGAGGGTGGGGGCAGGAGGAAAGAGAAGTGATTGGTGGAATGATGAAGTAAAGGGTGTGATAAAAGAGAAAAAGGTAGCTTACGAGAGGTTTTTACAAAGCAGAAGTGTTATAAGAAAAGCAGAGTATATGGAGAGTAAAAGAAAGGTGAAGAGAGTGGTGAGAGAGTGCAAAAGGAGAGCAGATGAAAGAGTGGGAGAGGCACTGTCAAGAAATTTTAATGAAAATAAGAAAAAATTTTGGAGTGAGTTAAACAAGTTAAGAAAGCCTAGGGAAAGTATGGATTTGTCCGTTAAAAACAGAGTAGGGGAGTTAGTAGATGGGGAGAGGGAGGTATTAGGTAGATGGAGAGAATATTTTGAGGAACTTTTAAATGTCGAGGAAGAAAGGGAGGCGGTAATTTCATGCACTGGCCAGGGAGGTATACCATCTTTTAGGAGTGAAGAAGAGCAGAATGTAAGTGTGGTGGACGTACGTGAGGCATTACGTAGAATGAAAGGGGGTAAAGCAGCTGGAACTGATGGGATCATGACAGAAATGTTAAAAGCAGGGGGGAATATAGTGTTGGAGTGGTTGGTACTTTTGTTTAATAAATGTATGAAAGAGGGGAAGGTACCTAGGGATTGGCGGAGAGCATGTATAGTCCCTTTATATAAAGGGAAAGGGGACAAAAGAGATTGTAAAAATTATAGAGGAATAAGTTTACTGAGTATACCAGGAAAAGTATACGGTAGAGTTATAATTGAAAGAATTAGAGGTAAGACAGAATGTAGAATTGCGGATGAGCAAGGAGGCTTCAGAGTGGGTAGGGGATGTGTAGATCAAGTGTTTACATTGAAGCATATATGTGAACAGTATTTAGATAAAGGTAGGGAAGTTTTTATTGCATTTATGGATTTAGAAAAGGCATATGATAGAGTGGATAGAGGAGCAATGTGGCAGATGTTGCAAGTTTATGGAATAGGTGGTAAGTTACTAAATGCTGTAAAGAGCTTTTATGAGGATAGTGAGGCTCAGGTTAGGGTGTGTAGAAGAGAGGGAGAATACTTCCCGGTAAAAGTAGGTCTTAGACAGGGATGTGTAATGTCACCATGGTTGTTTAATATATTTATAGATGGGGTTGTAAAAGAAGTAAATGCTAGGGTGTTCGGGAGAGGGGTGGGATTAAATTATGGGGAATCAAATTCAAAATGGGAATTGACACAGTTACTTTTTGCTGATGATACTGTGCTTATGGGAGATTCTAAAGAAAAATTGCAAAGGTTAGTGGATGAGTTTGAGAATTTTGTGTAAAGGTAGAAAGCTGAAAGTGAACATAGAAAGAGTAAGTTGATGAGGATATCAAATGATTTAGATAAAGAAAAATTGGATATCAAATTGGGGAGGAGGAGTATGGAAGAAGTGAATGTTTTCAGATACTTGGGAGTTGACGTGTCGGCGGATGGATTTATGAAGGATGAGGTTAATCATAGAATTGATGAGGGAAAAAAGGTGAGTGGTGCATTGAGGTATATGTGGAGTCAAAAAAACGTTATCTATGGAGGCAAAGAAGGGAATGTATGAAAGTATAGTAGTACCAACACTCTTATATGGATGTGAAGCTTGGGTGGTAAATGCAGCAGCGAGGAGATGGTTGGAGGCAGTGGAGATGTCCTGTCTAAGGGCAATGTGTGGTGTAAATATTATGCAGAAAATTCAGAGTGTGGAAATTAGGAGAAGGTGTGGAGTTAATAAAAGCATTAGTCAGAGGGCAGAAGAGGGGTTGTTGAGGTGGTTTGGTCATTTAGAGAGAATGGATCAAAGTAGAATGACATGGAAAGCATATAAATCTATAGGGGAAGGAAAGAGGGGTAGGGGTCGTCCTCGAAAGGGTTGGAAAGAGGGGGTAAAGGAGGTTTTGTGGGCGAGGGGCTTTGACTTCCAGCAAGCGTGCATGAGCGTGTTAGATAGGAGTGAATGGAGACGAATGATACTTGGGACCTGACGATCTTTTGGAGTGTGAGCAGGGTAATATTTAGTGAAGGGATTCAGGGAAACCGGTTATTTTCATATAGTCGGACTTGAGTCCTGGAAATGGGAAGTACAATGCCTGCACTTTAAAGGAGGGGGTTGGGATATTGGCAGTTTGGAGGGATATGTTGTGTATCTTTATACATATATGCTTCTAAACTGTTGTATCCTGAGCACCTCTGCAAAAGCAGTGATAATGTGTGAGTGTGGTGAAAGTGTTGAATGATGATGAAAGTATTTTCTTTTTGGGGATTTTCTTTCTTTTTTGGGTCACCCTGCCTCGGTGGGAGACGACCGACTTGTTGAAAAAAAAAAAAAAAAAAGTCTGCTGAGTATACCTGATAAAGAGTATGGTAGAGTTATTATTGAAAGAATTAAGAGTAAGACGGAGAATAGGATAGCAGATGAACAAGGAGGCTTTAGGAAAGGTAGGGGGTGTGTGGACCAGGTGTTTACAGTGAAACATATAAGTGAACAGTATTTAGATAAGGCTAAAGAGGTCTTTGTGGCATTTATGGATTTGGAAAAGGCGTATGACAGGGTGGATAGGGGGGCAATGTGGCAGATGTTGCAAGTGTATGGTGTAGGAGGTAGGTTACTGAAAGCAGTAAAGAGTTTTTACGAGGATAGTGAGGCTCAAGTTAGAGTATGTAGGAAAGAGGGAAATTATTTCCCAGTAAAAGTAGGCCTTAGACAAGGGTGTGTGATGTCACCGTGGTTGTTTAATATATTTATAGATGGGGTTGTAAGAGAAGTAAATGCGAGGGTCTTGGCAAGAGGCGTGGAGTTAAAAGATAAAGAATCACACACAAAGTGGGAGTTGTCACAGCTGCTCTTTGCTGATGACACTGTGCTCTTGGGAGATTCTGAAGAGAAGTTGCAGAGATTGGTGGATGAATTTGGTAGGGTGTGCAAAAGAAGAAAATTAAAGGTGAATACAGGAAAGAGTAAGGTTATGAGGATAACAAAAAGATTAGGTGATGAAAGATTGAATATCAGATTGGAGGGAGAGAGTATGGAGGAGGTGAATGTATTCAGATATTTGGGAGTGGACGTGTCAGCGGATGGGTCTATGAAAGATGAGGTGAATCATAGAACTGATGAGGGGAAAAGAGTGAGTGGTGCACTTAGGAGTCTGTGGAGACAAAGAACTTTGTCCTTGGAGGCAAAGCGGGGAATGTATGAGAGTATAGTTTTACCAACGCTCTTATATGGGTGTGAAGCATGGGTGATGAATGTTGCAGCGAGGAGAAGGCTGGAGGCAGTGGAGATGTCATGTCTGAGGGCAATGTGTGGTGTTAATATAATGCAGAGAATTCGTAGTTTGGAAGTTAGGAGGAGGTGCGGGATTGCCAAAACTGTTGTCCAGAGGGCTGAGGAAGGGTTGTTGAGGTGGTTCGGACATGTAGAGAGAATGGAGCGAAACAGAATGACTTCAAGAGTGTATCAGTCTGTAGTGGAAGGAAGGCGGGGTAGGGGTCGGCCTAGGAAAGGTTGGAGAGAGGGGGTAAAGGAGGTTTTGTGTGCGAGGGGCTTGGACTTCCAGCAGGCATGCGTGAGCGTGTTTGATAAGAATGAATGGAGACAAATGGTTTTTAATACTTGACATGCTGTTGGAGTGTGAGCAAAGTAACATTTATGAAGGGGTTCAGGGAAACCGGCAGGCCGGACTTGAGTCCTGGAGATGGGAAGTACAGTGTCTGCACTCTGAAGGAGGGGTGTTAATGTTGTAGTTTAAAAACTGTAGTGTAAAGCACCCTTCTGGCAAGACAGTGATGGAGTGAATGATGGTGAAAGTTTTTCTTTTTCGGGCCACCCTGCCTTGGTGGGAATCGGCCAGTGTGATAATAATAAAAAAAAATAAAGATACACAACATATCCCTCCAAACTGCCAGTATCCCAAACCCCTCCTTTAAAGTGAAAGTATCTCATTTTAAATTTAGTAATGTATACAGGAGAAGGAATGCAGGCGAGAGAAATATATCATAATCTACACTTGGAAAATCCTAGAAAGAATGGTCCCAAATCTGCACACAGAAATTACTCCCTGTGAAAATAAGAGTGGGCAGGCAGTTCAAAATACCCCGAATGAAAAGTAGGGACACCACTGGTACACTAATAGAAAACACCATAAGTGTCTGGGGCCCAAGACTGTTTAACAGCCTCCCACCATACATAAGAGTAATTACCAGTAGGCCCCTGGCTGCCTTCAAGAGGGAGCTGGACAGATGCTTACAGTTGGTGCTGGATCAGCCGGCATCGACTGTGGTTTGTACGTTGGACTATGTGTGGCCAGTGGTAACAGCCTGGTTGATCAGGCCCTGATTCACTGGGATGCCTGGTCACGGACTGGGCTGTGGTGGCATTGATCCCCAGAATACCCTCCAAGTAGACACCAGGTAGACTAGCCCCTTGCTCCCGGCGTTTTAGTTGCCTTTTACGACATGCATGGCTTACGAAGGAAGAATTCTGTTCCACTCCCCATGGAGATAAGAGGAAATAAACAAGAACCAGAACTAGTAAGAAAATGGAAAACCCAGAGGGGTGTATACATATATGCTTGTACATGCATGTATAGTGTGACCTAAGTATAAGTAGAAGTCATGAGACCTACCTAAAATCTTGCATGTTTATGAGACAAAACAAAGACACCAACAGTCCTTCCATCATGTAAAACAGTTACAGGTTTCTGTTTCACACTCATTTGGCAGGACGGTAGTACCTCTCTGGGTGGTTGCCGTCTACCAACCTACCTAGATGTATAAAAATATTAATCATAAATTACAAATAATTTTCTGAACCTTCTCTGTCTCAGCAATGTAAGAGAATAGTATAGTAGTATATCGTAAATAGGTCTGGCCTTTGAACTGAGATGATGTACAATAACAGGCATTATTCTGTAAATTCTGCTGTGTATAAAATAAAAGCTAGTGACAAATGCAACAGTTAACAGTTATTCTTAGTGTACATTTATTGTAATGTACTAAACATTGTAGAAATAAATGGAAGTTAGGTAAAAAATACAAATAACTCTTTTGTTTAGCTGATGATGGAATTCAGCATTATGAAGTACAAGCTCGTTTAGCCATTCTGGACAAGCAGTTCAAGACAGCTGAAAGCATCTACTTGGATTACAACAACCTTGAAAAAGCTATGGAGATGTACCAAGATCTACATAAATGGGATGAAGGTAATGCTAAATAGTGATTCTTTATATTTTTTAATTCTCTATAACAGGAATGTGATTCATTCAACAGAAGTCTGTCTAACTTTGCACCATAATAGGGTTGATGCTCATTACATTTTATCTTCCCTCAAGGAAGGTGCCTTAATACCAAGGAAGGGTTCTTGTTCAAAGGAACTCGACTTATCCTTTCTCTTAGAATAAACCTAATTGCCTCCTATTCCTCAGGCATTATATAATTATATGGGTTATACCTGAGCTATATAATTACAGTGGACCCCCGCCTTACGATATTAATCCGTTCCTGAGAGCTCATCGTAAGCCGAAATTATCGTAAGGCGAATTAATTTTCCCCATAAGAAATAATGGAAATCAAATTAATCCATGCTGGACACCCCAAAGTATGAAAAAAAAAATTTTTTTACCACATGAAATATTAATTTTAATACACACAAACTGAAGAAGACATGCACAATTACTACTCAACTAAGAATAGAATACATGACACTTACCTTTATTGAAGATCTGGTGATGATTGATGGGATGGGAGGAGGGGAGAGTGTGGAAGTTATTATTTAGAAGGGGAATCCCCTTCCATTAGGACTTGAGGTAGCAAGTCCTTTTCTGGGGTTACTTCCCTTCTTCTTTTAATGCCACTAGGACCAGCTTGAGAGTCACTGGACCTCTGTCGCACAACAAATCTGTCCATAGATCTCTGTACCTCCCATTCCTTTAAGATTTGCCTAAAATGGGCCACAATATTGTCATTGTAATAGTAACCAGCACGGCTTGCACACTTTGCACACATTTCCTTAATCTTTGAAGTAGGCACAATGGATTCCACAACTGGCATAGGCTTCTCAGGGTTAGCCCCAAACCCTTCAAAATATTTCTTAATTTCCATACTAATTCTCACCCTTTTTACCACAGGGTTGGCACTAGAAGCTTTCTTGGGGCCCATGGTGACTTATTTTGCAGTTACAAGCACAAAAAACACTGGGATAAGATGAAATGTACCAAATGTATGCCTGGATGCGATCACACTGGCTGGCTTGCAAACACTGGCACCCACGGGGCAGCTGAGGCCACATGTGGGACGCGTCCCGGACGAATCACGTAAGGCGAGTTTTTTTATCGTGAGGCAAGGCAAAATTTTTGCGTTCAAATGCTTCGTATGGCGGATTTAACATAACGCGATGCGTTCACAAGGCGGGGGTCCACTGTATATGGATTTAGTGCTTCCCTGGTTTATAATATTACTGTAACAGCAATGCTTTGTTTTGTAAACATTAAGATATCAGGCAAATCAAGATAACTAATTTATACTCAAAAAACTGCACACATTAGACTGAAATTTGTGATGACATTTCAGTCTGACTTGGAACATTAACTAGTCAAACAGCAGCACAAAGGGAAGGGAGCCAGAACATATGAGATCTTAGTAATTCCTTTAACAATCCATTTTGTAAAATATGTATAACAAATGGGTACATTGTTTTGTAGCTGTGCAGCTAGCAGAGGTGAAAGGCCATTCAGAAGTTGAGTCCTTGCGTAGGGCACACACGCAGTGGCTTTTGGACACTCATCAAGAAGAGAGAGCTGGTCAGCTTAAGGAAGCAGAAGGCGACTATCTGGCTGCTATTAATATGTATCTCAAAGCTGGGATGCCTGCTAAAGCCTCTAGGTTAGGAAAATATATATATGTCCTCAAATTTAAACTAAGAATTTCTAATAAAATCTCTAGGTTAAATAAATATAGTATATACTGTATATGACTACATTACACACAAATTCAAACCAGCAATGCTTACTGAAATCTCTTGGTTAATGATTTTCTTTTTTTAACATACTGGCTATCTCCCATGGAGGTAAGGTGATCCAAAATAAGAAACACTTTCACCATCATTCATTCCATCACTGTCTTGCCAGAGATGTGCTGATACCACAGTTCAGGTGCCCCTCCAAACTGCAAGTATCCCTACCCTTCCCTCAGAGTGCAGGCACTATACTTTGCACCTCCAGGAGTCAAGTCCAGCTAACCAGCTCCCCCAAATCCCCTCACAAAATGGTACCCTGTTTACACTCCAAAAGCTCATCATGTCCTAGAAACCATTTACCTCCATTCACTCCTACCTAACATGCTCACACACCCCTGCTGGATGTCCAAGCCCCTCCCACACAAAACCTTCACCTCCTCCCTCTACCCTTTCCTAGGGTGACCCCCACCCCACCTTCTCTCTGCTACAGATCTACACACCTTCCAAGTCATCCCATTTTACTCCATCCTCTCCAAATGTCCCAACCACCTCAGCAAACTCTGCATAATATCTACACCACACATGGCTTCCAAACACATCTCCCCTCTCTCTTCCTCACTGCAACATTCACAACCCATGTTTCACACCCATGTAATGGTGGTACCACTGTATTCTCATACGTATTCCTTTTTGCCTCCATGGATAACAGTTTTTGTCTCCACAAATGCCTCAGTGCACCACCCATCTTTTACCCCTCATCAGTTGTTGGTTCACCTCATCTTTCATGTAACCATCTGCCAAGAACTTTACTCACAAATACAGAACACATTCACTTCCTCCATCCTCCCTCCTTCCAGTCTGATATCTAGTCTTATCATTTAGATTTAGATTTAGATTTTTTATTTCCTTGCAAGTTTACAATGTGGTTGATATATTGTAGAAAGTATATATACATAGGTAGTTTACAGTGAGGGTTTACAATGATTTGTAGTGCAAAGAGAGCCACTATCATGCCTTGGCATTACGGGCAGTCTAAACTTAACAGACTACTGATTACTTAACACTAAACATACAAAACATAGTTTGATCAGGTTGCACTAAATATACATTAGGTTGTACTCTTTTTTTTTCAACAAACCGGCCATATCCCACGGCCCAAAAAGAAAAATGAAAGTTTCTCTTTTTAAATTTAGTAATTTATACAGAAGGGGTTACTAGCCCCTTGCTTCCGGCATTTTAGTTGCCTCTTACAACACGCATGGCTTCTGTTCCACTTCTGTTCCACTTCCCCATGGAGATAAGAGGAAATAAACAAGAACAACAACTAGTAAGAAAATAAAAGAAAACCCAGAGGGGTATGTATATAGTAGACCGTCATTTAACATGGTAGTTACGTTCCTGAAAATGCTATGTTAGGTAAAAACCGTGCTAGATGAACTGAAGAACTTGTGGAAAAAATAGGGTTACATTGCTGGGAGCCCCAAAAAAGCCAAACAACTTTCTTTTAGGCCTCCACATCTTACAAAAATAAAAGTGAATATGTAATTGTAGGTCATTGTCGTGATGTATTATGTTGTTTTTATTGCTTAAGATTAGAAATGCAACAGAAATAATAGCATTTCTTACCTTAAATTGTGGGTGTTGGTGTTTGTGGATGATTGTGGAGAGTTATGCTGTGGCCCTACTGGGCTGAGACGGATGGTAGAGGCTCTGGTACAGAAGTCAATGGTTGTACTGGAGCATGCATAAATTCTGTAATGGATTTCTGTTCTATTTTACCCAGCAGTACATTATACAACTGACAGTAAGGCATTAGCTGCTCTAGACACCATTTCAGGGTCCTCTTCAGTGAAAAAGTCTAACTTTAAGTCAGTCAAGTCAGTCAGTAAGTAAATCAGTCAAGTCAGTCAGTCAGTAAACCAGTCAGGTCAGTAAGTAAATCAGTCAGTAAGTAATTCAGTAAATCAGTAAGTAAGTCAGTCAGTAAATCAGTTATTAAATCAGTCAGTAAGTCAGTAAATCAGTAAGTCAGTAAGTCAATCAGTAAATCAATCAGTAAATCAGTCAGTAATTCAGTTAGTCAGTAAATCAGTCAGGTCAGTAAGTCAGTAAGTAATTCAGTAAGTCAGTCAATAAATCAGTCAGTCAGTAAGTCAGTCATCTCACACATACTCGTATTTACCTCACTCTTATGTGCACAAAGTGACTCTTCATTACGGCCACTGGCTATCTCTTGTCTAATATCTCTATTTTCTTTGTTAATTCTAAGACTTAAACACTTATGCCTTTTCTTGCCACTTTCAGCATCACTTGTATGCCTACTGGGTACCATGATTGCTTGGCAGATTTAAGATATGGCAATTAAAATACGTATCTAAACAAACACAGCAAGCTCCCAGAGGATTGTCCTACACGTGTGAACTGAACTGAAGGCTGGGAGGGTGGTGGGGGTGGCTGAGGGTTGCAGGGGATAGTGGTAGGTCTTCCCTGTTGACTCAGTGGTGTAACCCACAGCCAATCTTGCAGGCTCAAAATTTTTTCCCCTCCCACAAACTGAACCGTGTTAAGTTAATTTTATGAAATGTTGTATAAAATTGTGCCACAATTCTTCTGTCGTGCTATAACCAAAATCATGCCAAATAAACCCATGTTATATGACAGTCTACTGTACTATATATGCTAGTACATGTTGTGTTCTGAGCACCTCTGCAAAAACAGTGATTATGTGTGAGTGAGGTAAAAGTGTTGAATGATGATGAAAGTATTTTCTTTTTGGGGATTTTCTTTCTTTTTGGGTCACCCTGCCTCGGTGGGAGACGGCTGACTTGTTAAAAAAAAAAAATGTATGTGTCTTGTGACCTAAGCATAAGTAGAAGTAACAAGACATACCTGAAATCTTGCATGTTTATGAGAAAGAAAAAAGGCACCAGCAATCCTATCATTACGTAAAATAATTACAGGAAGACTAGTATTTTTTTTTTTAACACGTTGGCCATTTCCCACTGAGGCAGGGTGACCCAAAAGAAAGAAAAAACTTTCATTATCATTCAACACTTTTGCCATCACTCATACATAATCACTGTCATTGCAGAGGCACCCAGATACAAGTTTAGATAGTCACTCCAAACTGCCAATGTCCTAAACCCCTCCTTTAGTGTGCAGGCATTGTACTTCTCATTTCCAGGACTTAAGTCCGGCTAACCGGTTTCCCTGAATCCCTTCACAAAATATTACCCTGCTCACACTCCATCAGCCATCAGGTCCCAAAAACCATTTGTCTCCATTCACTCTTATGTAACACGTTCACATATGCTTACTGGAAATCCAAGCCTCTCACCCACAAAGCTTCCTTTACCCCCTCCCTCCCTCCAACCTTTTCGAAGACAAGCCCTATCCCCCATTCCTTCCCCTACAGATTTATATGCCCTCCAAGTCATTCTGCTTTGTTCCATTCTCTAAATGACCAAACCACCTCAACAGCCCCTCTTCAGCCCTTTGACTAATACTTTTAGTAACTACACACCTCCTAATTTTCATACTACAGTATGCAGTATTTTTAGACACTAAATTTTTTTCCCTATATATTACATAAGTGTTTTGAAGGATGATTAATGAAGTGATTTACGTTGTAGGTTAGCCACAAGCATTGATGAGCTACGTGAAGATCCCGAACTTATAACACGAATTGCTACAGCATTGCTCAAAACCGAGCTTTATGAGCAAGCTGGAGAATTATATGAGAAAGTTGCTCAGCCCCAAAAAGCCTTGGAATGTTATCGCAAAGGCCATGCTTATGCTCGAGCTGTTGAGTTAGCAAGATATGCCTTCCCAGCAGGTGAGTTTAGTGCAGTATGTAGTTTTATAACATAAATGTGCTGTTTTCTAGCTGTTGCCAAGAAACATCTCCAGAATGGCTCATCAGATTTGCTTCCATCTTCGATTAACTGAAAGCAGACCTTCCCAATTAAAATCCCTAAAATTTTTAAATATATAGCACTTCATCATTCTCATGTTATCTGTCTCCAGGATGCTGAACTATAATTCAAACCCAAAAAAAGATGCTTTCTGGGAAGCTACAACAGAGCCCTCAGACAACACAAAAAGTGAATACGTACCTCATTAAGAATAAGTCAGTACCATGGCTCAAATAATTTACAAACAACTCACAAATTGCTGGTAAATCTTTAGATGATATTTCACTTTGTCCTGGATCATTAATAATTCACAGCTTGATGCTGGTCTTTGGTGAGTTGTTGATCCACAATGTACCAAAATGTCTTCTAAAGGTTTATCTCCAATTTGTGTGTTACATGCAAATATTTTTTTTTCAACATAGCCGTTTCCCACCCCTGAGGCAGGGGAACCCAGAGAAAGAAAGAATCATTTTCACCATCATTCACACATAATCACTGTCTTTGCAGAGGCACTCAAATACAACAGTTTAGATGTCATTCCAAACAGTCAATATCCCAAACTTTTCCTTTAAAGTGTAGGCACTGTATTTCCCATCTTCAGGACTCAAGTCCGGCTAACTGGTTTCCCTGAATCCCTTCACAAAATATTACCCTGTTCACACTCCAACAGCTCATCATTCATATTAAGTGTGTGCTGCTCAGTGCTGATAAAGCCAAAAAGTGGAACAGTTTACCAGAGGAAGCTAAACTTTGTACAGCATTAACATGTTTGTGTGACACATTCCAAATATCACCTGTTTGGAACCTTTATCTAGTAAAGCACATATTGTAAATCGAGAAAGTGCCAAGGAGTACAGCACAGTTGGTGAGTTGAGGGGAATGAGGTACAAAAAAAGAATACAAGACCTAACCCCTACATCACTTGAACACAGAACAAGAGGGTATGATCACAACACTTAAGAGAGGCAGAGTAAACAAGGAAAGGCTAGTTACCAGTATTGTAATAAGAACAAGAGAGCATGGCTGGAAATTGCACTCTCAAAAAAAGCTGTAGGAATATCAGAAAACATTTCTTCAAAATGGTGAGTGGTAAAGTGTAATGAAATAAATAATAATGCATTGGATGCAGACTATACAGGAGTTCACAAACAGTTTGCCAGGTTGTGATGTGTGTGTGTTTGTAGGCCTGCAGGCCACTAGTAACAAGAACTGTGGCCTCATTTCGTGCTATTAAAATAGATCTTTTGAAACTGGTCACCGAATCTACAGGCTATTTCATGTCAGTTGATTGAAAGCAAAGTGAGTCCCAGAGCTAGTGCTCACCCCTTCAAACTCAAATAAGAATGAAGATGGAAGTTTAAAAAAAAAACTGGGCAGTTCCTGCAAGTGCCAAGTCAGTTGGGTTGTGATGGCTATATTGAGCCTTAATACCACTAGCACAAATAGCCTGGTTCACCAGCAGATCAACAGAATAGCCTTGGCTCAGGCCAAGGAATAGTACAGCTTTCAAAACCTGTCACGTATAAAGTGTAAAGTGTATGTGCCTTTCATTCATAACATAAAGAATTGGTGCTTTCAAAACATTTATAATAAATCCATGCATGTTCAGACAACCCAGCCTCAAAATTCTCTTTTTCTTCGTAGTATTTACTTGCAGAAAATGGGTTACCAGCCTCTTGTTCTTCTCTTGGCATTTTAATCTTGTATGACACACATAGCTTACACGCAGATAAATCTTAACCAGTTTTCTCAAGGAAATTAAAAAAAAGGGCTAAAAACTATTGAGGATTACAAGGGAAAAGTAGAACTATGTTTATACTGAATGTAAGTACTGTTGCATGTTTATGAGAGAAAAAAGAGAAGCTCTTTTGCTTAAATGCAAAGCCTTTAACAGGCTGCTGCTTCACACTTGTTTGACAAGAAAGTGGTAATTTCCTGGGTGTCTGCTCTCTACCAGCCTACTTCAGTACTCACCTACCAATTGGTGGCATTATTTTTTTTTTCAACAAACCGGCCGTATCCCACCAAGGCAGGGTGGCCCAAAAAGAAAAACGAAAGTTTTTCTTTTTAAATTTAGTAATTTGTACAGGAGAAGGGGTTACCAGCCCCTTGCTCCCGGCATTTTATTCGTCTCTTACAACACGCATGGTTTACGGAGGAAGAATTCTGTTCCACTTTCCCATGGAGATAAGAGGAAATAAACAAGAACAAGAATTAGAAAGAAAATAGAAGAAAACCCAGAGGGGTGTGTGTATATATGCTTGTACATGTATGTGTAGTGTGACCTAAGTGTAAGAAGAAGTAGCAAGACATACCTGAAATCTTGCATGTTTATGAGACAGAAAAAAGACATCAGCAATCCTACCATCATGTAAAACAAATACAGGCTTTCGTTTCACACTCACTTGGCAGGACGGTAGTACCTCCCTGGGTGGTTGCTGTCTACCAACCTACTACCTTCATGGTGGCATTATATATTTCTTATTGTCCATTGTAAACTCAACAATAATAACCACATTCAAATGTGTCTTTCATCCTCTAAAACAGAAATGCTTTGCATATTGTCCAGTGATTTTTAATTTGTATGCCGGACTATAATATGGAGTAGCATGTCTGTGAGTGATCAGGAGCCATGGTAAGAGATCCCCTCAAAATGTGGGTGGAATGAGTTGCAAAATTAATAAAATAGAAAACTCATTGAATAGGCTGGCCTAGGGGAAAGATAATTCCAAATTAATGAAAAAATTTTTAATTTTATTTCATATTTGTCAAAATAAATTAAATTGTATTTTATTGTAATAAATATTTTACAAGGTTCTTATTTTTAAAAATATTTTCTTATTTCTTAAATTTTCAGATGTTGTGCACATGGAGGAAGAATGGGGAGACCAGCTGGTAGCCAACAAACAGGCAGATGCAGCTATTAGTCACTACATAGAAGCTGGGCGCACTGTCAAGGCTTTAGATGCTGCTATAACTGCTCGGCAGTGGAAGAAAGCTATGCAGATTATAGAGGTAAAAATTCACTCATTTAATACAGATGCAAGAATGATTATCAGTCCTGTTAAAATGATGTGAACAGGCAGGAAGGTATATATGGTCAAGTTATCATATTTGCTACATCTTTATTTACTTATTTTGGGCATTCCTAAAGGAACTGTGATAGATATTATTTTCTGTGAATTCACAGCCAAGGGTCAAAGCCGTGAGTTGAAGCATAATCATATTTTCATATACAGCATAGGTTTTTCCCTGCTTTTTGCACATTCCCTTATTCTTCATTTTACACTAAAATACTTTTCCAGGTTATTGACGATGATGAAGTCCTACAGCCACATTTGATGAAGTTGGGTAATCACTTTGCTTCACTGAATGACTACAAGAAGGCAGAGAAATTCTATATTAAGGGTGGCATGCACAATGAGGCAATTACAATGTATAACCAGGCTGGTAAGTTTCATATTTATTTGTCATACTTTTAAAATGTTAGTGAAATAAATGTCTTTAATTACTTAGGGAAGTAAAGGATAGTCTACACTCTGTGGCTGATTTTACCTTACTATGGCTATGCAGTATTCACACTGGAACACCATTTAATGACCTGCTATATTCAGGGAGCGGGCTGCCCCGGTTGACACCATTTAGGGGGTGACACTATAGAGCCTCTAAAGAAGGTGACATTAATGCCCAAAACAGTGCTGCACCAACTTAAGAGAAGAATCCTTCGTTTCTATATACCCTATTATATATTAACAAAGTACAAATAAGCCTATATAGGGAAAATCATTGATTTTGATGATGTGATAGATGATTTTGCAAAACTGAAGGCAAGGAAATGTAAGATCAGGTTCACTGAGATGTTACCTTTACTCAAGGTCAAATCAGAACTAGTGTTTCTCTGATATTGCAATGTTTTTCTTTATTTTTCAAGTTTTTTTTTTTTTTTTTTTGGCATTGTTGAAGATGAATAAATATAGGATCTGTTGCCTGTACTCAGAGTGGTATTTGAGTTTGTTTCCTCAATATTACTACGATTTTTTATTTTATCATTAATAAAGTTTAGAAGTATTCTCCCGTTCAGTGTATGGCCCTTTAACGTTCTCATTGTTAAACATTTGTCACTGATCATGCAGTAGTGACATAACTAGAGTTTAGCCCCCCATCCCCCCCGCCCTTGAATTTCATGGGGGTGACACCGAAGATGCTGCCCAGGTGACACCAGAGATTCTGTCCCGGGTGACACCAACTCTAGTGACGCCTTTGGCTATATTTTCAGACTCTGTGTTCTTTCCAGCTTTATCTGAACTCAGTCTTCTAGCCTCATTTATTTTTTCCTAGGGCTGCATGAGGCTTCTTTCTTAAGAAATAGTCCTTCACTGCTAAATTGGTTCATTAGTACAAGGTCCTTTGTGAGCTTCCAGATTTTGGATAATGGCTCTTAACCCTTTCAGGGTCCGTCCCGTAGATCTACGGCTTTACGGTGAGTGTCCAAACCGTAGATCTACGCCATGAGCTCAGCTCACTCTGATAAACTGTGAGTGGTAAATTTGGGCCTAGATATGAGAGAATACATCTATGTGGTATGTGTGCACCACATAAAACAGATCCTGCAGCACACTGTGTATAATGAGAGAAAAAAACTGAAATCATGATTTTTCGATTAAAACAGCAACTTTGCAGTGTTTTTTCGTATGTTTTTTATAGTTGTATTTGCGATTTCTTGGTCTCATTTGATAGAATGGAAGACATATTACAGAAATAGAGATGATTTTGATTGGTTTTAGCACTGGAAATGGCTTGAAACTGAGCTCAAAGGAACGGAAATGTTAAATTTTTGCCGATATTCAAGAGTAAACAAACGACCTCACACGTCTAATACACGTCAGCTGGTGGGTCTAATATACATTCACAAATATGGTGATGATATTTATACAATTATTGCAGTATTGCATAACAGTAAATCTTCTATTTTTTGGTGTGAATAAAAAATCAAAATGGAATTTATTTGTAAAGCCTCAAAACATAACTAATGAACAGAGGAAATGTTAGTTTAGTGCCAGGAATGCCTACATTGTTTATTCTGGACCCTATTTTGAAATTGGAATATTTTGAACTTTGTGTTAAATTGGCCAAATTAACAATTTCCAATCACTTTATTTTGTAGTTGAAACAGTTGACTTGGCGATTTCTTGTGCTCAATCGATAGAATAGAAGTAATACTAGTGAAATAGCTAAGAATTTGGTTGATTGGAATAATGTAATTGGCCTAAAATGGGAGTCAAAGTCGGCAAAATCGCCGATTCGTAAATATCGCTGACACATCAAAATTCGCGAGAGCATAATTTCGTCAATTTTCCACCAAATTTCGTACTTTTTGTTTTATTACCTTCACAAAAAGATTGTCTACGATTTCATAAGAAAAAATAAAAAATTTTTTTTTTTTAAATTCTTGGACACTGGTGCGTGACTCCAGATTTGGGCCTTGGACCCTGAAAGGGTTAAAAAATCTATGGTATACTTAAAAAATCACCAGTTATTGTAGTATATGGTTTTCTGTATACTGTATACATGTATACATCATTTGTCCTAGAGGTGTAGAGTGTGTGTTATTGCATTTAGTACTGTACATGCAAGAATGATTGATGATCAGAGCATAGATTGGCACTTTGTTATAGTGTATCGGACACATCATTCTAGCAGACCCTCTTTCCCTCTTTCACAACTTTCTTTTTCATTATTATGTGTTTTTATCATGTGCCAGCATGAAAACTAGGTATAGTATTGCAATCATTCTGAATAGTTTTAATTTTTTTTTTTTTTTTTTTTTTTTTCCCTCTCCACATAAGCCATCTCCCACCAAGGTAGGATGACCAATTCACTAAAATCCCACAGGAGAGAAATATTAGGATGATATTTTGAACAGTTCTGGATCGTTGTCCAGGATGAACAAAAAAAAAAAAACATTCATTCAATACCATTCAGTTGGCACCGTGAACAGCATCCCCACCCTTCCAGAGTGCAGGCACTGTGCTTCTCACCTCCAGGACTCTTAAGTCTGGCTAATCAGTTTCTCGGAGTCCCTTCATGAATGTTACCTTACTAATACTCCAATAGCACTTCAAACCATTAACCCTTTCACTGTCAGTCTTGTAATATTACGGCTTTGAAGTCAGTGTCGGTCCCGTTAATACTACGCCAAAATTCTAGCGGCTTCTAATTTTGCGGAAGATAGCTGGTAGGCCTACATATGAGAGAATGGGTCTGAGTGGCCAGTGTGCACAGTATAAAAAAAACCTGCAGGACGCAGTTCATAATGAGAAAAAAAACTGCGACCCTGTTTTTGGTTTAAAACAGCGACTTTGCTGTGTATTTTCTTATGGTATTTATAATTTTATTTTGTTTTCTTGGTCTCATTTGATAGAATGAAAGATGTACACCTACCATCCGACTTACGACCGAGTTCGGCTCTGAGAAACCGGTTGTAAGTCGAAATGGTCGTAAGTCGAACTTTACTACTGAATATCAACAAAACATTTTTGTAATGACTATTTTATTGTTTTATTTTGGTAGTTCATGTTTTACTTTGCTTTTTATGCTGTTAGTACTGTATTTTATACTGTAAGGTTTAGGATAAACACTGTGTACAACACAAGTAGTTGTTTATTTCCCAGAAATTTGGCATGAAAAACACGGTCGTAAATCGAGTGGTCGTAAGTCGAGCAGGTCGTAAGTCGGATGGTAGGTGTATTACACAATATTATAAATATAGAAATGATTTTGAATGGTTTATTGACTAAAAGTACCTTGAAATTGAGCTCAAAGTAGCAGAAATGTTCAATTTTTGCCAATGTTCAAGAGTAAACAAATCATGTCACATGTCCAATACACATCAACTGGTGGGTCTGATATGCTTTCACAAATGTGCTGATATTACATATACCATTTTTACAATAATGCAGTGGTCTGCATAACAGTAAATCTTCTATTTTTTTGTGTGAATAAAAATTCAAAATGGAAAGCAAGCATAGTATAAGAGGGGCCTGGAGATGTGACTAATAAACAGAGAAAATGTCATTTTAGTGCCAGGAATGTTTTCATTGTTAATTCTGGACCCTATTTTGAAATTGGCCTTTCTTGAATTTTGTATGAAATTGGCCAAATTACCAATTTCTGATCACTTATTGGGTAGTTGAAATAGGTAAATGGGTGGTTTCTTGTACTCAGTCAATAGAATAAAAGGAGTTACAGTGAAATAGCTATGAATATAGTCGACTGGAACAATGGAATTGGCACAAAATAGGGTTCACTATGAGCAAAATTGCCAATGCATGAATATCGCTGAGACTGCTAACTTCATGAGAGCATAATTCTGTAAGTTTTTCATCAAATTTTGTGTTTTTAGTTTCATTACCATTGGGAAAAGATTCTTTATTATTTCATAAGAAAAAATTTTTTTTTTTAAATTCTTCAACACTGAGAGCAAGTTTGCGAGCAGGGGTCTCGACAGTGAAAGGGTTAAAACACTTGTCTCCACTCACTCTGATCTAACACATCTATGCAACTACCAGATACTCAAGCCTGTACTATGTACTCAGAAATTCCATCACTTCCTCTCTTCCGAGATACTCTATATCACCATTATACAAGAGGACCCTGTTTATACAGCAGGTTACGTTCCAGACTACTGCTGTAAAGCAGAAATCATTGTAAAGTGAAATATAATGTTATTTCACTTTCATAACCATATAAAATACTGATAACATGTTTACACTATATTAAGTGAGCAGTAGAGCTAGGCCTAAAATATTTTCATCCTTATTTTATAGTGAGTGGTGAATATATTTATTGTGGGAAGTCTGAATGAATAAAGAATGGATATAATTGGAAACCACTGCATCAGTGAAATGCTTTAAAATGAAGTAGGGCCCTCCTGTATATTAGAATTTCATAAATGAAAAACATTATCAGTTGCAGAACAGTTGTAATATTCTGATCCTGCATAGATTCATCACTTCTGTGATTGGGATTTCATGTTAATATGGGATAAAATTATGATGCATAAAGATAACAATGTTGATACTATGGCTTGACCACCTAGGCACTAGCTAGGACTGTGCATTAACCCTTTCAGGGTCCGTCCCGTAGATCTACGGCTTTACGTTCAGGGTCCAAACCGTAGATCTACGTCATGAGCTCAGCTCACTCTGATAAACTGTGAGTGGTAAATTTGGGCCTAGATATGAGAGAATACATCTATGTGGTATGTGTGCACCACATAAAACAAATCCTGCAGCACACTGTGTATAATGAGAGAAAAAAAACTGAGACCGTGATTTTCGATTAAAACAGCGACTTTGCAGTGTTTTTTCGTATGTTTTTTATTGTTGTATTTGTGATTTCTTGGTCTCATTTGATAGAATGGAAGACATATTACAGAAATGGAGATAATTTTGATTGGTTTTAGCACTGGAAATGGCTTGAAACTGAGCTCAAAGTGGCAGAAATGTTAAATTTTTGCTGATGTTCAAGAGTAAACAAACGACCTCACACGTCTAATACATGCCAGCTGGTGGGTCTAATATACATTCACAAATGTGGTGATGATATTTATACAATTATTACAATATTGCATAACAGTAAATCTTCTATTTTTTGGTGTGAATAAAAATTCATTATGTGAATAAAAAATCAAAATGGAATTTATTTGTAAAGCCTCAAAACATAACTAATGAACAGAGGAAATGTTAGTTTAGTGCCAGGAATACCTACATTGTTTATTCTGGACCCTATTTTGAAATTGGAATATTTTGAACTTTGTGTTAAATTGGCCAAATTACCAATTTCTGGTCACTTTATTTTGTAGTTGAAACAGTTGACTTGGCAATTTATTGTGCTCAATCGATAGAATAGAAGTAATACTAGTGAAATAGCTAAGAATTTGGTCGACTGGAATAATGTAATTGGCCTAAAATGGGAGTCAAAGTCGGCAAAATCGCCGATTCGTAAATATCGCTGACACACCAAAATTCACGAGAGCATAATTTCGTCAATTTTCCATCAAATTTCATACTTTTTGTTTTATTACATTCACAAAAAGATTCTCTACCATTTCATAATAAAAAAATAAAAAAAAATTTTTTTTGAAAATTCTTGGACACTGGGGCACCACTTCAGATTTTGGCCTTGGACCCTGAAAGGGTTAAACCTTGTTGCAGAGAATTACTTTAAATAAAAGTGTGGAAACCAGCTGAGAATTAAAATAAAAAGACAATTTACTGATCATTGGTGTACTGCTTAACTGTGCATTGCTGTATTTTACTTTATTCTTTTCACAATGTTCATTGTCTACCTATCACCTTAATATTCTACTTAACTCTTGTATTGTTTCTAGACAACCCTCTCATTTCATCTTTACACACGCATGCACACACACACAAAAAAAAAAAAAATGCTTTCTCTGCCCTCTTGCTTCTTTTATACATTTTTCATTGATTTATTTGTCTTATTCTACATCCATGTTTCACTCCCATAGAATAGGGTAGAAAGGCATAATTTGTTTCTTAGTTTTTTTTTTTTTTATCTAGTAATATACAGTGGTACCCCGAGTTTCGTACTGCTCCCATCTCGAACAATTATGTAAGTGTATTATTGTAAGTGCTTTTGTAAGTGTATTTTTGGGGGTCTGAAATGGACTAACCTAATTTACATTATTCCTTATGGAACAAATTCATTCGGTAATGGCACTCAAACAGCCTTCTGGAACGAATTATGTATGAAACTCAGGTTACCACTGTATTTCCATTTCATAATCCTTCCTAAAGATCCAGTGGCTTTTTTACTAAGAGCTTCTCCCTCTTTTTGTCTTGTAGGAGAGTGGGAACGTGCCCATCAGCTTGCAAGTAAGTACATGGGTGCTGACAAAGTAGCTGTCATGTATGTGAATCAAGCACAAGTGTTGGAGAGCCAAGGGAAGTTTAAAGAAGCTGAAAAACTGTACATCTCAGTCCATGAACCAGATCTTGCCATTACTATGTATAAAAAGCAGCGTCAGTTTGATCAGGTTGGTGATCATTCCTGTAGTATGTATATTTATGAGATTCATATGGGTTAAATATATTTTCAGTAAATTTATGCAATATACTAATAATAATAATAATAATAATAATAATAATAATAATCATAATAATTTTTCATTTGTAACCTCAGATGATGCGATTAGTGAAGGAGTATCATCCTGATCTAGTGCAGTCTACACACCTTCACTTAGCTGGACAGTTAGAGCAGGAGAGTAACTATCATGATGCAGAGAAGCACTACATAGCTGCTGAAGACTGGAAAGCTGCAGTAAACATGTATCGGGGTGTAGATATGTGGGAAGATGCATATAGAGTAAGTATTTTGGGATTACTTCGTTGGCTACCATATTTTCAGCATATACCCATGGTGCATAAAGCAAAATCGCATAAAGCGACCACAATTTAACATGTAACCATAGGGATACATTCCAAGGCTTTGTGAATTTCATTTTTGACATTTTTTTTTTTTTTTTTTTTTTATTATCACACCGGCCGATTCCCACCAAGGCAGGGTGGCCCGAAAAAGAAAAACTTTCACCATCATTCACTCCATCACTGTCTTGCCAGAAGGGTGCTTTACACTACAGTTTTTAAACTGCAACATTAACACCCCTCCTTCAGAGTGCAGGCACTGTACTTCCCATCTCCAGGACTCAAGTCCGGCCTGCCGGTTTCCCTGAATCCCTTCATAAATGTTACTTTGCTCACACTCCAACAGCACGTCAAGTATTAAAAACCATTTGTCTCCATTCACTCCTATCAAACACGCTCACGCATGCCTGCTGGAAGTCCAAGCCCCTCGCACACAAAACCTCCTTTACCCCCTCCCTCCAACCCTTCCTAGGCCGACCCCTACCCGCCTTCCTTCCACTACAGACTGATACACTCTTGAAGTCATTCTGTTTTCGCTCCATTCTCTTCACATGTCCGAACCACCTCAACAACCCTTCCTCAGCCCTCTGGACAACAGTTTTGGTAATCCCGCACCTCCTCCTAACTTCCAAACTACGAATTCTCTGCATTATATTCACACCACACATTGCCCTCAGACATGACATCTCCACTGCCTCCAGCCTTCTCCTCGCTGCAACATTCATCACCCATGCTTCACACCCATATAAGAGCGTTGGTAAAACTTATACTCTCATACATTCCCCTCTTTGCCTCCAAGGACAAAGTTCTTTGTCTCCACAGACTCCTAAGTGCACCACTCACTCTTTTTCCCTCATCAATTCTATGATTCACCTCATCTTTCATAGACCCATCCGCTGACACGTCCACTCCCAAATATCTGAATACGTTCACCTCCTCCATACTCTCTCCCTCCAATCTGATATTCAATCTTCATCACCTAATCTTTTTGTTATCCTCATAACCTTACTCTTTCCTGTATTCACCTTTAATTTTCTTCTTTTGCACACCCTACCAAATTCATCCACCAATCTCTGCAACTTCTCTTCAGAATCTCCCAAGAGCACAGTGTCATCAGCAAAGAGCAGCTGTGACAACTCCCACTTTGTGTGTGATTCTTTATCTTTTAACTCCATGCCTCTTGCAAGACCCTCGCATTTACTTCTCTTACAACCCCATCTATAAATATATTAAACAACCACGGTGACATCACACATCCTTGTCTAAGGCCTACTTTTACTGGGAAAAAATTTCCCTCTTTCCTACATACTCTAACTTGAGCCTCACTATCCTCGTAAAAACTCTTCACTGCTTTCAGTAACCTACCTCCTACACCATACACTTGCAACATCTGCCACATTGCCCCCCTATCCACCCTGTCATATGCCTTTTCCAAATCCATAAATGCCACAAAGACCTCTTTAGCCTTATCTAAATACTGTTCACTTATATGTTTCACTGTAAACACCTGGTCCACACACCCCCTACCTTTCCTAAAGCCTCCTTGTTCATCTGCTATCCTATTCTCCGTCTTACTCTTAATTCTTTCAATTATAACTCTACCATACACTTTACCAGGTACACTCAACAGACTTATCCCCCTATAATTTTTGCACTCTCTTTTATCCCCTTTGCCTTTATACAAAGGAACTACGCATGCTCTCTGCCAATCCCTAGGTACCTTACCCTCTTCCATACATTTATTAAATAATTGCACCAACCACTCCAAAACTATATCCCCACCTGCTTTTAACATTTCTATCTTTATCCCATCAATCCCGGCTGCCTTACCCCCTTTCATTTTACCTACTGCCTCACGAACTTCCCCCACACTCACAACTGGCTCTTCCTCACTCCTACAAGATGTTATTCCTCCTTGCCCTATACACGAAATTCACAGCTTCCCTATCTTCATCAACATTTAACAATTCCTCAAAATATTCCTTCCATCTTCCCAATACCTCTAACTCTCCATTTAATAACTCTCCTCTCCTATTTTTAACTGACAAATCCATTTGTTCTCTAGGCTTTCTTAACTTGTTAATCTCACTCCAAAACTTTTTCTTATTTTCAACAAAATTTGTTGATAACATCTCACCCACTCTCTCATTTGCTCTCTTTTTACATTGCTTCACCACTCTCTTAACTTCTCTCTTTTTCTCCATATACTCTTCCCTCCTTGCATCACTTCTACTTTGTAAAAACTTCTCATATGCTAACTTTTTCTCCCTTACTACTCTCTTTACATCATCATTCCACCAATCGCTCCTCTTCCCTCCTGCACCCACTTTCCTGTAACCACAAACTTCTGCTGAACACTCTAACACTACATTTTTAAACCTACCCCATACCTCTTCGACCCCATTGCCTATGCTCTCATTAGCCCATCTATCCTCCAATAGCTGTTTATATCTTACCCTAACTGCCTCCTCTTTTAGTTTATAAACCTTTACCTCTCTCTTCCCTGATGCTTCTATTCTCCTTGTATCCCATCTACCTTTTACTCTCAGTGTAGCTACAACTAGAAAGTGATCTGATATATCTGTGGCCCCTCTATAAACATGTACATCCTGAAGTCTACTCAACAGTCTTTTATCTACCAATACATAATCCAACAAACTACTGTCATTTCGCCCTACATCATATCGTGTATACTTATTTATCCTCTTTTTCTTAAAATATGTATTACCTATAACTAAACCCCTTTCTATACAAAGTTCAATCAAAGGGCTCCCATTATCATTTACACCTGGCACCCCAAACTTACCTACCACACCCTCTCTAAAAGTTTCTCCTACTTTAGCATTCAAGTCCCCTACCACAATTACTCTCTCACTTGGTTCAAAGGCTCCTATACATTCACTTAACATCTCCCAAAATCTCTCTCTCTCCTCTGCATTCCTCTCTTCTCCAGGTGCATACACGCTTATTATGACCCACTTCTCGCATCCAACCTTTACTTTAATCCACATAATTCTTGAATTTACACATTCATATTCTCTTTTCTCCTTCCATAACTGATCATTTAACATTACTGCTACCCCTTCCTTTGCTCTAACTCTCTCAGATACTCCAGATTTAATCCCATTTATTTCCCCCCACTGAAACTCTCCTACCCCCTTCAGCTTTGTTTCGCTTAGGGCCAGGACATCCAACTTCTTTTCATTCATAACATCAGCAATCATCTGTTTCTTGTCATCCGCACTACATCCACGCACATTTAAGCAACCCAGTTTTATAAAGTTTTTTCTTCTTCTCTTTTTAGTAATTGTATACAGGAGAAGGGGTTACTAGCCCATTGCTCCCGGCATTTTAGTCGCCTCATACGACACGCATGGCTTACGGAGGAAAGATTCTTTTCCACTTCCCCATGGACAATAGAAGAAATAAAAAAGAACAAGAGCTATTTAGAAAAAGGAGAAAAACCTAGATGTATGTATATATATATATGCATGTGCGTGTCTATGAAGTGTGACCAAAGTGTAAGTAGGAGTAGCAAGATATCCCTGTTATCTTAGCGTGTTTATGAGACAGAAAAAGAAACCAGCAATCCTACCATCATGCAAAACAGTTACAGGTTTTTGTTTCACAGTCATCTGGCAGGACGGTAGTACTTCCCTGGGTGGTTGCTGTCTACCAACCTACTACCTTTGACATGTGTGCAAAAAAAAAAACAATAACTAAACACATGCACTAGAAGTTCGGGTGAGATATAAGCAACTATTGGCAGAAAGGTGGACTGGTGCAAGTATGAGCAGTGGGGGGATTGAAGAGGGTTGGAATAGTTTTAAGAATACACTGTTTTAAGAATACACCAGGAGGCCTGGTCACAGACCGGGCCGCGGGGGCGTTGACCCCCGGAACTCTCTCCAGGTAAACTCCAGGTTAGAATATGGGGCAGAAGTTTGTGGTTATAGGAGGGTGGGTGCAGGAGGAAAGAGGAGTGATTGGTGGAAGGATGAAGTAAAGGTTGTGATAAAAGAGAAAAAGTTAGCTTATGAGAGGTTTTTACAAAGCAGAAGTGTTATAAGAAGAGTAGAGTATATGGAGAGTAAAAGAAAGGTGAAAAGAGTGGTGAGAGAGTGCAAAAGGAGAGCAGATGATAGAGTGGGAGAGGCACTGTCAAGAAATTTTAATGAAAATAAAAAATTTTGGAGTGAGTTAAACAAGAAAACCTAGGGAACAAATTGATTTGTCAGTTAAAAACAAAGTAGGGGAGTAGTAGATGGGGAGATGGAGGTTTTGGGTAGATGGCGAGAATATTTTGAGGAACTTTTAAATGTCGATGAAGAAAGGGAGGCAGTAATTTCATTCACTGAACAGGGAGGTATACCATCTTTTAGGAGTGAAGAAGAACAGGATGTGAGTGTGGGGGAGGTGTGTGAGGCATTATGTAAAATGAAAGGGGGTAAAGCAGCTGGAACTGACGGGATCATGACAGAAATGTTAAAAGCAGGGGGGGATATAGTGTTGGAGTGGTTGGTATTTTTGTTTAATAAATGTATGAAAGAGGGGAAGGTACCTAGAGATTGGCAGAGAGCATGTATAGTCCCTTTATATAAAGGGAAGGGGGACAAAAGAGATTGTAAAAATTATAGAGGAATAAGTTTACTGAGTATACCAGGAAAAGTGCACGGTACGATTATAATTGAAAGAATTAGAGGTAAGACAGAATGTAGGATTGCGGATGAGCAAGGAGGTTTTAGAGTGGGTAGGGGATGTGTCGATCAAGTGTCTACATTGAAGCATATATGTGAACAGTATTTAGATAAAGGTAGGGAAGTTTTTATTGCATATATGGATTTAGAAAAGGCATATGATAGAGTGGATAGGGGAGCAATGTGGCAGATGTTGCAAGTACATGTATATGGAATAGGTGGTAAGTTACTAAATGCTGTAAAGAGTTTTTATGAGGATAGTAAGGCTCAGGTTAGGGTGTGTAGAAGAGAGGGAGACTACTTCCTGGTAAAAGTAGGTCTTAGACAGGGATGTGTAATGTCACCATGGTTGTTTAATATATTTATAGATGGGATTGTAAAAGAAGTAAATGCTAGGGTGTTCAGGAGAGGGGTGGGATTAAATTATGGGGAATCAAATACAAAATGGGAAGTGACACAGTTGCTTTTTGCTGATGATACTGTGCTTATGGGAGATTCTAAAGAAAAATTGCAAAGGTTAGTTGACGAGTTTGGGGGTGTGTGTAAAGGTAGAAAGTTGAAAGTGAACATAGAAAAGAGTAAGGTGATGAGGGTATCAAATGATTTAGATAAAGAAAAATTGGATATCAAATTGGGGAGGAGGAGTATGGAAGAAGTGAATGTTTTCAGATTCTTGGGAGTTGACGTGTTGGTGGATGGATTTATGAAGGATGAGGTTAATCATAGAATTGATTAGGGAAAAAAGGTGAGTGGTGCATTGAGGTATATGTGGAGACAAAAAACATTATCTATGGAGGCAAAGAAGAGAATGTATGAAAGTATAGTAGTACCAACACTTTTATATGGGTGTGAAGCTTGGGTTGTGAATGCAGCAGCAAGGAGGCGGTTGGAGGCAGTGGAGATGTCCTGTCTTAGGGCAATGTGTGGTGTAAATATGCAGAAAATTCGGAGTGTGGAAATTAGGAGAAGGTGTGGAGTTAATAAAAGTATTAGTCAGAGGGCTGAAGAGAGGGTTGTTGAGGTGGTTTGGTCATTTAGAAAGAATGGATCAAAGTAGAATGACATGGAGAGCATTTAAATCTGTAGGGGAAGGAAGGCGAGGTAGGGGTTGTCCTCGAAAAGGTTGGAAGGAAGGGGTAAGGGAGGTTTTGTGGGCGAGGGGCTTGGACTTCCAGCAAGCGTGCATGAGCGTGTTCGATAGGAGTGAATGGAGACGAATGGTATTTGGGACCTGACGATCTGTTGGATTGTGAGCAGGGTAATATTTAGTGAAGGGATTCAGGGAAACTGGTTATTTTTATATAGCTGGACTTGAGTCCTGGAAATGGGAAGTACAATGCCTGCACTCTAAAGGAGGGGTTCAGGATATTGACAATTTGGAGGGATATGTTGTGTATCTTTATACATATATTCTTCTAAGCTGTTGTGTGCTGAACACCTCTGCAAAAACAGTGATTATGTGTGAGTGAGGTGAGAAAGTTGAAAGATGTTGAAAGTATTTTCTTTTTGGGGATTTTCTTTCTTTTTGGGTCACCCTGCCTTGGTGGGAGATGGCTGACTTGTTAAAAAAAAAAATGCACTAGACAAATGCAAAAAAAAAAAAAAAAAGAACTTGGTTAAAAAATTTGAGAAAAATTAAATTCAAAATTCAGTCATAATGCATATACCAAATAACAGAGACATTTCAGGAAAAAAAATCTACATTTCTTCAATTTTACTAAATTATCAATAATACTACATAGGATTCTACTTTTGCAGACTGTCTAGTAACATTAAATCCCGTTTTCCCCACCTGATTTTTAAAATTATGATAATTATGTTCAGTATATAAGGGAATGTTTATTGTTCAATAGGCATTAAATAACCAAGAGAGATTAAATATAAAATAACTTAATTTCTTTGAGATGCCGGCACTCATTATTACTTATTACAGGCACCCCCATAAGGCTTACAAATTGAAAATAGAAATATAACATTTCTGAATCTATCTAAATATTTAGTAACCTGATGAAGACAATCAGAAATAAGTTATGAAAATAAAAGTCCGAATAATATTCAGTTATATGAAACATGAAAATAAATTGTCCAACACTCATTATACTGTTTATTTATAGTTTTAAAAATATCCTGAAAACTAAAAAAAGAAAAATGCACTTTTTTATAATAACTGGAATTTGAAAATCTAAAATTATAGTTCAGAACTTTAGCAGCCTCTCTCTCTATTATTAAACTGAATTAAATAACACATTTTCCTTATGCAATTTAAATTTTAAACCTTGGTGGAAAACATTGAAAAATAGAAAAAACATATATTATTCTAATACCTGAAATTAAAAATAAACAATATACATATATACAGTACTCTAATACCTGAAATGATAAGTTTTCAAATTGAAGTTGAGGAACATCAACATCTACCCATTTTTGGAATCTAATCTTTTTCTATAAAGGAAGTAGATGCTTCATTGCTGAACAGTCTTTTGCTCTAATGAAGAGATGGGTGAGCTGAGATATTTACTGACTAGGAGTGCCACAGATGGAACTAGTATCACATTTTCTCTCCGCCATTCTAGTTCATTTCCTTCTCTGGCCAATAATGCCATTGCCATACATGTGTCTACTTCTGTTTTTATGGTTATGGCAACACATGTTCCAGTACATTTTTTATGTGATTTGGAAAAGGATCACAAGGCAGATGTCTGTGACATGCTGGTGTTAGGAATATTGGCTACAATTTCTTAATAAAATTTGTCAAAATCAAACTTGGGTTCTTCAATTCTTGTTACATTGTATAAATTTTCTTCGCCAGACTTGATGCTATTTGATGCTGCTAGCAAACCAGTTACACTCTCTTGAGTTCTTGTGCTTATGTATGGCACCTTAATCTTCTTTTTTTTTTTAATTCAAAACAGGTAGCAAAGCAACAGGGAGGAGCCAATCCAGGAAAGCAAGTAGCATTTATGTGGGCAAGAACACTTCGAGGTGATGCAGCTGTGAAACTCCTTAATAAATTTGGCTTACTGGAACAGTGTATTGATTATGCATGTGAAAGCTCTCAGGTTGGTTATCTCATTATCGCTTTTCATTTTTATTTATTGATCCCACTATTGCTATTTTTATATTGTTTATTCATCTTTTTCTCTAATGATTATTAACAGTTGAGTAGAAGCAAATCTGCAGTGTTGGTATTAGGGGTGGGATGATGATAAAATATTTGCTGATACCAATACTCAGTTTTAGGTTGATAGTGATACCAATACCATCGAATTTAACCAGTACCCACCAATACTTGAACCATCAAAATTAGCCACTGCCCACCTACACCCATACTCAATTTTAGGCCGATACCAGTACCATCAAAATTAGCTGATACCCACCATACCAATACAGTGATACCCTGAGTTTCGTATTGCTCCCAACTCGAACAGTTATGTAAGTGTATTATTGTAAATGTATTTTTGGAGGTCTGAAACAGACTAATCTAATTTACATTATTCCTTATGGGAACAAATTCATTCGGTAATGGCAATCAAACAGCCTTCTGGAACGAATTATGTATGAGACTCGGGGTACCACTGTACTTGGACACACCCCTATATGGGGTATATACATAGTACCATGTAGTGAAAACTTATTAGCTTAGCAACTATAGTCAACCTTTGATTCAACCCTTTGACTGTTTACGTCGTATATATACGTCTTATGCGCCACTGTTTCTGACATATTTATACAAGTAAATTCTAGCGGCTTCAAATCAAGCAGGAGAAAGCTGGTAGGCCCACATGTGAGAGAATGGGTCTGTGTCGGTCAGTGTGCACCACATAAAAAATATCCTGCAGCACGCAGTGCATAATGAGAAAAAAACTCTGTTTTTTTTTTTGGATTAAAATGCCGACTTTGAGGTGTATTTTCTTATAGTATTTATCATTGTATTCCCGTTTTCATGGTCTCAGGTGATAAAATGGAAAACATATTATAGAAATAGAGATGATTTTCATTACTTTCTTGAAGAAAACGACCTTGAAATTGAGCTCAAAGTAGCGGAAATGTTCGATTTTTACCAATGTTCAGGAGTAAGCAAATTACACCACATGTCCAATACACCTCAACTGGGGAGTCTAATATTCTTTCACTAGTGCACTGATATTATTTATATCATTTTTACAATAATGCATTAGTCTGCATAACAGTAAATTTTGTATTTTTTATATGAATAAAAAATCAATATAGAAAGCAATAGTAATATAAGAGGGGCCTAGAGACGTGACTAATGAACAGAGGATATGTTATTTTAGTGCCAAGAATGTCTACACTGTTTATTCTGGAACCTATTTTGAAATTGGCATCTTTTTTAATTTGCGTGAAATTGGCCAAATTGCCAATTTCTGACCACTTTATTGGGTAATTCAAATCGGTAAATGGGCGGTTTCTTGTACTCAACTGATAGAAAAAATGGAGTTCTAAAGAAATAGCTATGAGTTTGGTCAACTGGAACAACGGAATTGGCCAAAGACAGGGCTTAAAGTCGGCGAAATTGCCGATGCGTATATGTCGTCGAGACCGCTAACTTCGTGGGAGCGTAATTCCGTGAGTTTTCGACCAAGTTTCGTACTTTTGGTGTCATTACCATCGGGAAAAGATTCTCTATCATTTCATAAGAAAAAATAATTTTTTTTTTTTCCAAAACTTTTGCGACATAGAATGACAGTTTCAGAAAGGGGCTTGCGACAGTCAAAGGGTTAAAGGGCTTATGAAATATGAGATAAAATCCACTGGATCATATGATTCAGAAACAACAGACTAAGTTCATTGATTACAGAATTGTCTGTTATTGTTACAGTGATTGCAAATCAGTGTCATCTCTATTCACCACTATTGCTGTCACTTGCCACTCTCCCCTCCCCCACTCCCCATCCCAATGTTCTGTTAAATCCAGGGTTTTCTGTATTTGAGAACTGTATCATTTAAGATAAAGTTTATTTCTTTGTAAAGGTTGCAATGTGTAATTACAATTTGTACATAGTAACTACTTAAAACTAGACAAGAATTTGTGGTTAACTGTATTACAATCTCATTTAACCGTTACTTTCAGGGTCGACAGGCCTCTCCCAGACTTGTTCTCAGGGTCAAAAAATATTCGAAAAAAAAAAACATTTTTCTTATGAAAAGATAGTTTTTTTTTCTAAACTTTATAGGCTAAAAAAAATTTTTTTGCCATCAATACTTACCAAGATATGGAGGCGTGAAGTTGACAGAAATTGAACCTCATATGGCAACATCGCTGACTGCTGGTCACTCAGCAATCATTTATTTTGTTTTTTCTACTATTTTCTATTATTTTTTAATATTTTTTCTTTTCAAGTAACTTTTATGGCCTGTGAGACCAATATGAGGACTATTTTGTAAATATTTACTCTTTCTATACTACACAATAACTGCACAAACATTGTTGTCATTATATTGTTTACAAAACATGTTTACACAAACGAAGTTTAAAATGTTGTTTATTACAATTTTTCTATATTTATATACATATATACAGTCACAGGACATGTTTCTAGAAGTTCTGTAGCCTGTGGAAGTCTTTGAAACATGGTGTCATGCACAATGGTGTTTTACACTCCTCACACATAAAACGAGTGTCTGCATTGTTGTGGACGTTTTTTTGTATGTGCCCAGACAAAACACCTCTTCTGAGCCTTTTTCTTGCAAGCAGTAGCAGGCAGTTTTGTTTGGAAGTGATCACCAGGCCTCAGACAAGAAGATAGTTGTTGATAATTTGGTGGGCAATTTTCTATTGCAGGTGTTGCTCCTTGGTACTTGAATATTATTTGTCTGATGACAGACAAACAAAATTTGCCGTATGGGTTTGTTACTGGTCCTCATCTTATACATATAAGCATTGAGCATGGAAATGTCCAGAAGATGGAAAAAGAGTTTTATGTACCACTTATAACTCTTGCAAACACAATCAGCAAACCTAATCTTCATGTCACATTTGTCCACTGAACACATATTGAGGGTATAGTCCATCACAGCTGCAGGTTTTAGAATGGTTTCATTGGTCTCTCTATTCTGCCTGCCAGTGTCTGTCATTTCGTTAGGGTGAACTGATGACAACAGTGCGATATCTCATTTGTTATGCCACTGAAATGACATGATGTCATTGGCAACAAATGTCTGCACCTCACCTCTATGAGTGCCAGCGTCAAACCTAGGCATGTGCTTACGATTTGTACGCACTGTACCGCACACATCTGTCATGTTCACTTGCAAAAAATCACTAAGTAAGGGGCTTGTGTGCCAGTTATCAGTATATAATATATGCCCCTTATCAAGATATGGTTCCACCATTGTTCTAACCACATCACCAGAGATGCTCAATAACTTCCTGGTATTTTGCAATGTATTACTTCCAGTGTACACAATAATATCCAATACAAGACCACTGTAGTAGTCACAAAGCACAAACAACTTTATATCAAAGCATTTCCTCTTGCTTGGTATATACTTGAAGATTGAAGATTGAGACACTTATGCAGCATATGGGAATCTTTATTCAGGAAACGTTTCGCCACACAGTGGCTTCATCAGTCCAATACAAAGAGGAAGGCGTAAGGAGAGGAGGAGTATGAGGTAATCAGTCCCTCAGCCTGGAGTCGATGTGTTCAGTCCATCAATCTTGTAGAATGTACAGCATAGGGCCGTAGACGTGGCTTATATACTGTAGTGAGGTGACTTGAAGCAGACAGAGGCGGGATCATAGTGGTACCATCCACTAGTCGAAGTAGGTCTTTGTCTCAAGGTTGAACAAGCGTTGAAGAATTCATTGTAAGAAGATCCCATGATGCTGCAGTGTCTGACAGTTGTGATGAATGGTTTGAAAAACCGACAAGTTGAAGATTGAGACACTTATGCAGCATATGGGAATCTTTATTCAGGAAACGTTTCGCCACACAGTGGCTTCATCAGTCCAATACAAAGAGGAAGGCGTAAGGAGAGGAGGAGTATGAGGTAATCAGTCCCTCAGCCTGGAGTCGATGTGTTCAGTCCATCAATCTTGTAGAATGTACAGCATAGGGCCGTAGACGTGGCTTATATACTGTAGTGAGGTGACTTGAAGCAGACAGAGGCGGGATCATAGTGGTACCATCCACTAGTCGAAGTAGGTCTTTGTCTCAAGGTTGAACAAGCCTGTCGGCTACCTTTGAACAGAATCAAAGACTCATCAATAACAAGCTTCCTGAAGGGATAAAAATACATATTGAATTTCTGTTTCAGATACACAAACACATTCCTAATCTTATATAACCTGTCGTTTCTGTCAGGCCTGGTTTTGTCTGAGAAGTGTAGCATACGCAACAGTAGCACAAATCGATTCACTCGTATTATATCACTGAAACCTGGGATTGCAATCAGGCGGTCTGTTGACCAGTATGATTTGACACTGTGCTTATACACATGTGGCTTAAGCATTATTGTGGCAAAGAAGAGATACATCTCAGCCACAGTTGTCTCATTCCACTGGTGTAGGCGTGATTTTGGTGAAAGTATTGTGTTTGCCATGATGTAATCAAAGTATGTGTTGCTTTCCCTGACAATAATTTCCACCAGGGGTTCATCAAAGAATAACTCGAAACATTCTGGTTCAGTGGCATTGTTCCCAAGTGTACAAGATGGCCATATTCCACTTTGACTTTCATCAAACTGATGGGGATTGGGAACAAAATTGTCAGCTTCTTGCCAATCCCAGGTGTGGTCTGCTGGCGAGTACTGGATATTGACAGGTGGTTGTGGTTGTGGAGGTTGGTGTGGTGGGTGGGTGGGGGATGGTGGCCTTTGTTGTAGTTCAGCTGAGGCAGCGGCGTGGGTAGCAGCATGGCCCACTGCTGGTGCTTCACGGCTGGCACCGCCACTACCACCACCAGATGCATGCACATTTTCCATCCCAGTTGCAACAATATCATCTTCATTGTCACTATCTGTTCCTGTTGTACAGCAATGGGATGTACTCCGAGATGTACTCCTTCCCCTTGGAATAGCATATGGCACACTACCA